CCGGGGAGTTGACAAAGCGATATACCCAAACCAAAGAGGAGGAGGAAATCTGTGGTTCTGCCAGGCCCGTTGAGTTCAGGACCCTGTCCCTGGAGGACCCCGCGGCCATGGATCGAGGAGCTGAGGAAGAGGCTGCCGCTGACCCTCCAGGAAGTGAGCCCAGGCCACCTAATGCGGATGTGGAGAAGCAGGACTGACCGTTTATCGTAGGGGGAACCCTTGTCATGCAAGTATATTTACATTTTTTTGTCTATCAATCGATGACCCAGAGCAGGAAACACATGTGCTGTTGACCAAGTCCATGGAAGCTCTGTTGGCAAAGTCGGCCAAGTTGCGAGACATCGAGTCAAAAGTTGAGAACCCCAGGCCACTTTAGTATTGGTAGGATTGGCGTTCAATGATCACACAATCAAATTTGAATCAACAGTATTTGTTTTCATGAGTGACCTTTGCATCATCTCATTTAAAGCCATACCCTAAGTGTGAAGTCGATCCTCAAGACTGCCTATGAAGCCATGGACACTCACTATGATGCATTGGCTACAAGCCTGGCTCGCTACCGTGCAGTGAAGACAAAACCGTTTGATACGTTTCTTTGGCACAATCATGTTGAATCTATTGTTATAAAAGGGTATATAGCAAAAACATTACTGACATTCCATCAGCCCCGGCACTTTGAGGTTGGCTCAGAACATTGACAAGCAATTGGAATACGCAGAAGTCTTGTGCCTTGATTTAAAACCACTCTGAACAACTGGATTTCTATGGGTGGTGGAACCATGGGGTTTATGTTTTTTGCCGTCCCAGGGGAAGCAAGGCTACACGTGCAGAAGTCCAAGCCCAGCATTCGCCCCAGAAAATTCTGGTGAGAACAGTGTGAACATACATGTGCATATGTATATTCATTCATATTATATCATATATATTTGAAGTAGAATCGATCTTATAAAGTCTGATGCACATATCACGGTATATCACCACATGGTCATACCTAAGGCCGGCTTTGAAATCTGCCCGGACCAAGCGCAAGTCTGAGAACGACGATACCAATTCTGAGTTGCCAGCACCAAAGGTGCCAAAGTCGAAGGCAAAGAGCAAGGCGAAAGCCAAGTCTGCCAAGTAAAGGCAAACTTCATGAAATGGGGTTTTGCAATTCTGAAATGATTTGCTTTGGATCGATCTCACAGCCCTTTCAAGCGTGTGGTTGCATTGGAGTCAACCCTGAACATGCTCACCTGGGCCTAGCGTGAATTCCATGAAAAAAAAATCGTCCACGGGTAGTGCAACAAATCTTATCCATGCAGTGCAGCATGCCCAGAAAGACCCATCCCTGGCCTTCCCACTGTTTCTGTAGATCCCATTGCCATCGCATCAGCACCTTGGCCATGCCAGGTGTTGTTGGACCAATGGGAAAGCATGCAGCATCGTGCATTGCAAATGGTGCCGGGGACCCAAGAGGGAAAGGGTGAAAAAAAAACAAACTATATCAAACTATGAATTATATTTGGATACTTTGGACAAGCCACCATTCTGGAGATTTGGCCCAAAAGACAAACAAAAAATCAGAATAGTTTAGTCGTCAGCTCCCCATGGATACTCGAGCCCGTGTAGTTGAGAAAAGGGAAAGAATTCTGGCCTCATTGAAGGCTTCATTTGAAGCTTTGGGTGTTCACGACCCAGACTTGCCCTGGGGGTTTGTGGCAGGACCCAAACGGCCTTTTGAAAAGCATGCCTTTGAAGCAAGGCAAAGACTCCGTGATTTGGAGCAACTACAGGTTCTGGATACGGTCATTAGCAATTGGAAATTCATCAACTTGGAAGTGAACCGTGATGAAACCGATCAAAATGTGAGCTGTGGCAGCTGAGTGGGCTTTTTTCAATTGCCAATTCGTTATGGCTAGGCCATGCAGTATGGCTTGCGCTGTTGTGCAAATTTGCTTAAATGTGCACGCTGTTGTTCCCACGTGGTGCTCCCATTGCCCTACGTGATGCTGAAAATTACATGACATACGCTAGCGATCCCTGGCAAAGAAAAAGGTCAAAAGCTCCTGCTTCAAAGTTTTTTTTTCTCACATGATCTCCTTCACCAGATCTCTTTCACATGAATCCTTTCACATGATCTCTTTCGCATGATCTTTTTCACATGACCTCTTTCGCATGATCTCTTTCACATGACCCTTTTCAGATCTCTAGCTTATTGTACCCCCAACGATTGGATTTTGATCGCCCAGGCCACCGCCAAGTCTGTAGCTGAGATGAGCAAGGCCGCAGTCGATCATTATGGATCTACAAGTTGCCCAATCACTTCCCGTCTTGCAAGTGTGCCAACTAAGAGAGCAGAAGACGAATGCCATAAACTGTGACGTAGCTGAAGCTGACTCCATATGATCCCATATAAAAATTACGGCAATTATTCTTTTTAGGGATGCTTTGGGTTGCATTTCAACTTGCACTTTTTAACTTTGAACCCTGCCCCAACCAAGGTTTGAGAAGCACAACCTGGCGTTGAAGATTCCGGTTTCCTGGGTTGACTTGGATGGTGGTGATAGCTACCCTGTGCTCAGTATGCTTGACACCATTGACTACTTGGTTCAATCCAACAACTTGTCCAAGTTGTTTGGGGAACAACCCATGGAACAAGTGCAACCAATGTTGTTAGAGTTTTGGCGACGTTACAGCCTTGAATGGCCAGATTATGGAGTCTTTCGAGCTGCTGCTGAAAACAAGCTGTCGCTATCACGAACAATTCCAGTTTACATTCATGGTGATGAAGGTCGTGGATTCAAACGATCGGGTGTCATGATATTGAGCCTACAAGGGGCCATTGGTCGTGGCAGCAAACCTTTCCTCAAAAGACATCCAATTAGATCTCTTCGTCAACTCAAGATGGGTATCAACCTTCAAGGGAGCTCTTTCAACAGTCGAATGCTGTTTGTTGCAATGCCAAAGAAACATTACAAGGCGAAACCAGATTCTGGGACTATGATATTATTCATTTTCTATCCTCTTAGATTGCCTTTGGTTGTCCTTTCCTGTGACATTAATTTTAATCCCACTCAGCCCCCTATCCTTACTCAGGAGAATTTCCAGGCTGTACTCAACAAGATGATCAATGACCTCCTCAAACTTCAAGACATTGGGTTTACCTACGCAGGGGAAAGATGGAACATCGCTTGCTTAGGTGTGAAAGGGGATCTTCCGTTTTTGAGGACCGTTGGAGACCTGACGAGGCATTGGCAAAGGGCGCACAGGTCAGAGGAAAACAAATCTCCTCCTGGGGTTTGTTGGATGTGTTTGGCTGGCACAAAGCCAGGGGGGCCTTTTGAAGATTTCAACATAGATGCTCAATGGTCTGTGGTTGCTACAGTTGATCCTTGGGTTACACGACCTTCAGTGCTGCAATTGTTTCATTGTATCGATCGTCCCCATGACTATCTCAAGACTGATGTTTGGCACAACTACCATGGAGGAGCAGGTAAAACTTTCATAGCTTCAGTGCTGGCTGAATGTTTGCTTCTTTTGCCGGGGTCAAGGGAAGACAAAATTTCCCAGTTGGATGTTCTCCTACGTCAGTGGGCCAAACGGCCGGGTTGCAACCTTCCTCATTCAGGTCCATTTGTTGCGGAGAGAATTGGCCTTACAAGCTTCCAGGTCTTACCTGAAGGAGGTTGGTCAAAGTTTGCTGACACGCATATCTACCACAGGTTTGTGGAATGGTTCTTGACAGGGAGGATTAATCAATTCAATGAGGACGAGTATTTTTTGATGATTCTTGAAGCTGTCAAAGCGGCCAACGACACTTTTTCAATTCGTTACTCGTCTGGGTTGTGGCTGACGTCCAATGAAGCGCTTGCAGCTGGAAACAACGGAAGAAAGTGGTTACGTATCTATGCAAATCTTGCCTATAGGTGCTTCACTGAGCGAAAATCACGCTTCCCGATCTATGTTAAGTTTCACATGTTGGACCATCACTGGCGTCGTTTGGTATCTGGAGCCCAAAACAAATGGACACTGAACATCCTAGCGGAGTCAGTGCAGGCTGATGAGGAGTCTAGTTTGAATTTATTTGAATTTTGATATGTTGGTCGTTATGTGGTCCTATCCTAGTATGTGTCATCACTGTTGTATTTTCCGTTCCCTGGGGATGTCTCATTTCAGGACTTTGTGGGGAGATGCTGTCGCGTCAGCCGACGCATTTCCCCCAGGGCAATTGGATTGAGAGTACTTCAAAGGTATCTTGTGATGGCAAACAAAGCGTGGGTCAACAGCCCGAACCCTGACACTCAGCAGCCGACGAAGAGAAGCTTCGCCGAGATGACGGGCCCGCTTGAAGCTGATGGTCCAAAGCACAGAAAAAGGGGAGTGAAGCAATTGTGTGTGATTATGGCTGAACCCCCAAATTGGGAAACACCCGTAAGCCGTAATGACCAAAAAAAATGGTTGAGGCCGTATGATCAAAAAAAACATTCATTTGGGCTCCTAGGTATATATATATCTATATATATATATAATGACATCTAATAACTATCATAAGATATAATAAGATATAATAGCTAGACCTTCGAAACGCGCATGAAAGAACGGTGTTTTATCCGCGCCATCGATACCCGGGATGGGCAAACAACTGCCCAACAATTGATGAAGTTCCAATTTTTGGAGGTTACCAGTGATAAAAAAGTGGATATAACATGATATAACATGATATAACATGATGTAATGGCTCAAAAATGGTCCATCACTGGTAATCTCAGGAGTTACATCATCTTCAATGGGTTCTCATTGAAATTCCATTGGAGCCAGTGCTTTCTATCATAGAATTGGATGATGGGAAAATTTATAGGAAACCCCTATATTTGATGGTAAAAACCATGGTTTCCTGTAGATTTTCCCTTAAACCAATCCATTGATTCTACCAGAAATCTGCCATGGCTAGGTGCTGTGCTCTGCCAGATCTGCTGGGCATTTTGCGCGGCTGCGACGATGCCATGCTGGCGCCACGCATGGCAGAAACGCTGGCGGAGGCCGGCCGAAATGCTGGCGGAATCCTGTGTAGCTATGGAGGTTTGAAGATGTTGTTTTACAATACAGGGTACCCTCTGGTAATTTAACGTAGCTATTGAAAATGGCCATTTATAGTGGATTTACCCATTGATAATGGTGGATCTTTCCATAGTTATGTTAAATTACCAGAGGGTACTGGGTATGACTAATCTGTAGCTAGGGTTGTTCTATGTTGTTCTTACTTGCCACGTGTAATTACAAGAGGGGATCATAGAATTTGTCACAGATTTACCATCAGCAACACTTGTTTTGCTATGATTTACCAGGAATGGCAATTTAGACAAATTCTCATAGAATTGGATGATGGGAAAATTTACAGGAAACCCCTATATTTGATGGTAAAAACCATGGTTTCCTGTAGATTTTCCCTTAAACCAATCCATTGAAATTCACTATGATTTGTTATGAAAAATGCCGTGTTTTTTGTCTCAAAACTTTGTTTATATGTCCAGCAAATCGGGATTTAATGTTTAGTTCACGATTTTATGCTAAACCACGAGTTCTTTGAAAAAATGGTACCTAATATTGGTAGTAATCCATCACTATTTTGGGTGGAACCCGCTCAATGAATAGTCAGGCTTGACAAATCCGTGGTTGATTACCATCAACACTCATCAAACATGTCATAGTTTTTTGCGAAAAAAAAACTCGTTTCTGTCCAAGTTTTGTTGGTTACCCTTTGGTAAACTAACAGTTTACTATTGAAGCCATGGCCATAGAAATAGTGGATTTACCCATGAAAAATGGTGGATCTTTCCAGTTCGCTATGTAAATGTTTACCAGAGGGTATATCTGGGTAAAAAAAACTTGTTGCCTCACTCTGACCTCACTGGAATCATGGTTAGTAAAAGGCGAGTCATCCCCAGTCCTCGCCGAACTATTCAGGTGAGTGAAATATATGGCTAGGAAACTTCCATATAAACCATATGAAAGTCCCAATCCCAATATATGGCTAGATAGATATCCCATTAATTCCCATTAATTCCCATTATATCTCCATATATCATCATATATCATCTGGTTGATGGTGACTGGAACCATGGAATTTTATGGCTTTCCATTCAGTTGGGAATGGAATAATCATCCCAACTGACGAACTCATATTTTTCGGAGGGGTAGGTACACCACCACCCAGTATAGTAATTTGCCCAGATATAGCGGTTTGACCATCAAAGATGTCTTTTTGGGGTCAACCTCTGCGGGTACAGTACGTCCCAGAATTCACCGCCGGGCCCACAAACGAAGACCTTACCCTTTGTTGCATGGCTATTCGCGAAATACCCTAGCACGATTGTATGTGTTCTTTCACTTTCACATAAGTTCATATAAGTACTATTTCATGTCTAAGTCATACATGTCATTCAAATCTGTGTCTAAGTCATACATAATTGAATATAGTCAGCGCATAGTCAGCACATGTTTCTGCTTCTGGTCGTTTTTTTCCCACGGAACTTCCAACAGAACTTCCAGTTCTGTCGCCAAAAAGGAACTGATCACCAGCCGCGGTGACTTCGCTCCGCGTCTTTTGGAGCTCCTGCAGCAGATGTTGAAGCTGGGCTGGGTGCAGGCCGATCCCACCGCTGATCCCGGCGTCGGGAAAACCATGGGAAAACCGTGGGAAAATCATGGGAAACATGATGGGAAAACCGTGGGAAAACCATGGGAAACATCATGAGTCTTGAGTGGTAAAGCGTTTTTGAGACCCTTTCTGGTTGGTGTTTTATAAATAATTGTCACTATATACAAATAATCATGAATGATCAATGACCGGTGCTTTGGAACATGACTTTTATTTTCCATAATATGAATGGATAATCCTTCCCAAGCTGACGAACTCTAATATTTTTCAAGATGGTTATTGCACCACCAACCAGTGTATATATATAATAACTATGTATGATAATCAATGGGATTTTGCACCATATTAAACCATGCGAACCATATATTATGGGTAGGTTATTGTACCACCAACCAGCTTTTTTTCAAAGTGTTTGGTGAAGTACATTGGATGGGAGGCTTTCGAAGATTTGCTGGAGGCATGGACCATGTGCAGTTTCCAGGTAGGCCATACTTGAGCTGATTGTTGGACTTTAAAAAAAGAAGAGCAACCTAAGATAACAATCAGATAGTTGGACAATGATGACTAACCCATGGATATATCGAGATTAATTCGAGCTGCTTCGAATATATCATTCAGATCAATCGACCTTTGGATGGTTCTATGATAAAAATCCATAAGATGTTATGATGTTAGTTGGATTCTGGTGAAAAATTATCCATACTATGGTTCAACCATGATAAAAAACCATAATCCATAAACATTCCAACTATTGTTTGTTCCCAGATGTTTAACATGGACGCAGGTGGCGGGTCTTGTGGCCATTGTGGAGGAGTTGGCTACGGAGGCGGCTTGGGCCCTTGGGCCATGTGGCAGCCACGGGAGGTTGATAGCTTCAAAGCCATGGAAAAATTGTGTTTTACAAAATGTGTTTCATGATTCTGATACCCTCTGGTAAACATACAAAAAACTATGGAAAGATCCACCATTTTTCATGGGAAAATCCACTATTTCTATGGCCATTTTCTATATAGCTATGTTAAATTACCAGAGAGAGGGTATATTTTGATGGTTAAATTCGTGAAATATATGATATAGCATCTGGTGTTAACGATGTTTAACCACGATCTTATCAAGACAAATGTGATACGAATTCGGGGAACTGGTGCAAGCCATAAAACATGGTTACATTATGTTACAACATGGTTACATGGTTGTTATATGGTTAACAGCCTTGGACCATTTGTTGTAAGGATGGGATTAATGACATTTGTTGCGGACTGGCCATTGCTAACATCCAGCTTTTGGGAGACAGCTTTTGGGAGATGTTGTTTTTTTTTAAAACCCACTTTGGCTAACCATCTGCTTCTTTGTTTTATTTGTACCTGATGTACCTGGTAATCATCAAGACTGTTTAAAATTCCATCTTAAACGGAATGCTCATCAGTGGTATTACCTGGCAATTATCAGTCTGTTCTTAAAAACAAGAACTCTTCTAACGGGCGGGGTGAGAAAAAAAACACTCCCGAGTGGAAAACTACTGTGAATGACTACCTGCTCATTTGGGCATCATATAAAAATCGATAAATGTTGTGCGTGGGGCCCAATCTGTTGCAGATTATGTACTACTTTTGGTTGGTGGTTTGGAACATGACTTTTATTTTTCCATATTGGGAATGTCATCATCCCAACTGACGAACTCATTTTTTTTCAGAGGGCTAGGGTTGAAACCACCAACCAGCCAAGTAACTAAGTATGATAATCAATGGGATTAAACCACATTAAACCATACTAACCATATATAGGGTAGGTTGAAACCACCAAGCACTTTTGCTTGGTGAAGCCATCTCTTAGGGTTGCACCAACCAGCGAAATGAACATCGGATGGACCTACCAGCTCTGCTGGGTTGCTGGGTTGGAATCCCCATAGAAATCTCATGAAATCCAGCTGCTGCGCGAATCCAACATGTGTAGTTTTGTTGAATGGGGATGTACCCTCTGGTAAACATACAAAAAGCTATTGAAAATTGCCACAGAAATAGTGAGTTTTCCCATTAAAAATCGTGATTTTCCATAGTTACTTGTATGTTAGTTTACCAGAGGGTATCGTATTTTTCGGCTTTTGTTTTGATATGATACATATGATGGATACAGGCAGAGTTAGTTGCTCATGTTTGCTTTTTTTTTTAACAGATCCAAGTCTAAGATAATCCATGTTTCATCTCTAGAAACTATAATTGGTTACCACATGACATCCTGTTCGTAATTCTATCCTCTTATCCTATTATATCCTCTTAGCGATTGCTTTATCCAATGTATTCCAAGATATTCAATACACTTGGTTAGATATCCCATTTCTTCAGGTTCCACATTTTTAATGCTGTTTTCTCAATGAAAAAAATATCGGGGTTACCCGGTAGATCTCCGCGTTTGAAAAGAGCTGGCAGATCCCCATTTGGGCTTTTGGGGAGTGGAGCCCCCATGGTAGTGATAGATTTTCACATCTCATTTAAAAAAACACATGTACCCTCTGGTTATGACTAACATAGCCATGGTTTTTCGATGGCCCTAATCGAAATAGATGGTTGACCTATTAAGCACGGTGATTTTCCATGGCTATGTTAGTCATAACCAGAGGGTAAATTATAGATCCCCCATTATATCTTATCCGATGATATATCCGATATATCATGATATACCATGATATTGTTGGATAGACATCCCCATATCCCATTCGAAAACTAACCTACACACCATATGGAGGTTTCCTAAAATGGGGGTACCCCCAAATCATCCACGTTAATGGGCTTTACACTACCATCCAGCCATTGGGGTAGCTCCATTTTAGGAAACCTCCATACTACACTATATGAAAGTCCCAATCCCAATATATGGCTAGATAGATATCCCATTATATCTCCATATACCCTCTGGTAATTTAACATAGCTATTGCAAATGGCCATTTACTTCGTTGATTTACCCGTTGAAAATGGTGAATCTTTCCATAGTTATGCTAGTTTACCAGAGGGAATCATTATAGTTACGGATAGTTGATGTGATCATCAATTTGATGTGATTATCAATTAATAATCATCAATGGATATTTACCAACTATCCAATCATCAATTTGAATCACCAATTGGTGGTTTGGAATATTTTGGAACATTTTTCCATTCAGTTGGGAATCATCATTCCCATTGACGAACTCATATTTTTCAGAGGGGTGGCTCAACCACCAACCAGACCGTGATATACCATAGCTATTGAAAATGTCCATAGAAATAGTTGATTTACCCGTTGAAAATGGTGATTTTCTGCATTTTCCATAGTTTTTTTTATGTTCACCAGAGGGTATCATTCTTGTGCTTCGTAAATCCCGTAACATCGATGCCAACTCCACGGAGGCCACCGAGACCCGAGCGTTCTCGGCCCTGGCTCTCTTGGACAGCGCGCTGTCAACCGAGCCGCCAGGGTCAAGGACGGAAGACGCGAGTGACGCGTTTCCGTGTGGGCCGTGTCGCCTCCGGGGATGGTTTCAACCATGAACATTACCCTAGAGGGTGGATTTTTCACAATGTTTATTGGGTAAATCCATGTAAATCCACTATTTTCATCTATTTTCGGTGTTAAACTAACAGGTTGCTAACCCTCTGGTAATCTAACATAGTGATTCATATAATGGGATTTTCCATGGGATATGAATGGGATAAATGGATAAATGAAGATTTAATGGGATAAACGTTTACAGGTTGCGAACTTGAAGCCATGGCCATAGAAAGTTCGTTGATTTACCTAATAAAAATGGTGGATCTTTCTATAGCAAACTGTTAGTTTACCAGAGGGTACATGTCGAATTAGATGATTTTTGCATAGTTTCACTGCGATGTTTAATTGCCAGAAGGTATGTGAATTACCGGAGAGAGTATTTTTTTTTGGTGCAAACATGAGTTTGACATCTAGAAAATGATAGAACGCAGCATTTTTTTATGGGACAGGGTTTGCACATAACCTATTTACTGATGTTTTCTTGCGGTTATTGGCCTCACGTCCTGACCATGAACCCTGGGTTGTCCCAAAAAAAGGTGATAACCCAAAAATTGCAACTCAAGTAGTTTTTTGATGATAAACCATTGGATTTGACGATAGTTTATATTTTCAGGCAGACCCGTAGCCGGATGAACATCCACTTGTGCCGTTTTTTTGGGTGTAAAAACTGCGAAAGTTATTTAATTATTATGAACAATAAACACTACATACATAGCAAAGTATTTCAGGTTTTGTTGAACAAATATGATCCACTGTCCTTTTTCCTAACTAACATAGCTATTGAAAATGACCATTGAAATAGTGAGTTTTCCCATTAAAAATTGTGATTTTCCATAGTTTTTTGTATGTTTACCAAAGGGTAATCACAATTTACCCGTCTGGATAGGTCGGACAGGTGGTTCAACCCGAGAACCGGAGCAGGCCAGAGCCGGGGCTGACTTCCGCGCTGATGCGGGCCCCCAAAGTCGCGCAGCTTTTGGTTCCGCGGCCGAATCGGCCGGGATGATACGCCCTAAAATCGGCCAGTGAATATAGGGAAAATGGGGGAATATAGTGGAAAATCACCTATAAATGACGCTCTGGTAAACTAACAGGTTGCTATTGAAAATTGCCATTTAGTTCGTTGATTTACCAATTACAGATTGTGAATCTTTCCATAGTTCTGTTAGTTTACCAGAGGGTACTGTTGGTTCTTTGGGGGGTCTCAACTATTTTGCGGGGATACGATCTGAAATGACATCAATCACATTCTTCCCGGAGTCCAAGTTGTGAAACGCTCCTCTTCTGGAACCCGCCATATTTTGGCCCAGAAAAACCATGGAGAACACTGCAGACTTTTCCCATAGTTGAACCCAAGGAATTCCATCTGCAGGGTATTGCTGTAGTCCTAAGGTGGACCATCATTCTGCCATTTTGGAAGCTTATCCTGCCCTGGCTAAGGCGGACCAGAAACTGACCCGTTGCGGTTGTGGGTTGGACTTGGCTGTGGTGGGGATGAAACTTCATGGAAAGCATTGAGGATTCACCTTTGTTTTCGTGTCCATGAAGGCATTTTGGTGTTTTTTTTTCCAGTCTAAAAGCGGGAACTGGCAACACCTGGCAACCTAGATTTTTCCATATGGCTATGGGTCAATACCTGTAAGATCCTATAAGTACCATTTTTAGGGTGATGAACATCCATTTACCAGGTTCATTTACCAGCTGTTTTGACCCATCCCCATATTTTTCATAGCTTTTCTCGGGTATCTAACGGTATCTACAAGGATCCTGACTTCTCCAGCTTGGTCAGGCAGCCACTCCCCTGCTGGCTCCCTCCACCGCGCCCGTTGCCACGGCGGCCACGTCGGCTGCACGGCGGGCACGGCCAGCGCCGGCGTCCTGGTTGAGAGGTAGTTCCCATGCAGAGGCTGGGGTTGGAAACGATTGGAAAATGTTGGATAGATCCAAGAGATTCCAAGAGAATCCACCAAAATGAGGTTGCAATTTGCAATCACATTTCCCAACATCCCAACCCTGGATGGATAGTTGCTATATGTTGCTATATCCTTTTGTCTCTTGCATTCTCTTGCTATAACTGGAAAATCACCGTAAGCAACATATTATATTTGTTTTGTGGGCAGACGAAGATAGACCATGATCAATTGAGTACATCATATATGACTATATATGACATGAGACATTATATGACTATACATGCATGTATATATATCTTAAATACGGTATTATACATGCATGCATGCATGCATGCATGCATGCATGCATGCATGCATACATACATACATACATACATACATATATATACACATACATGTTTCTGTATTTATGTATATATACTAATACAAATCAATACAGTGTCATCGCAGGCCGATAGCGAAGGCGAAGACGATACCGGCGATCCATCCACTTTCGGCCCGGTGCGCGTGTGCGTGGTGACCGGTGTGGGTGGCTGATTGTTTGGTGATTTTTGGCAATTGGAAAATCCACTCTAAATGGAGGTTTTAATATGTTTTGATACCTAAAAATTATGTTTTTCCCGATTTCGGTGACCAAAAACTGTCTATAGGATTTCACGGATTTTTTCCATCCGCTAAGATCCCATGAATTCATGAAAAACCTAGGGCCGGAAATCCTACCAGAGCATAAGTGGGGTCGCCCAAAAGGAGTGGTTCCCAAGCGCAGGTGGTCTTTGAAGCGATGGAGGATGTGCTGACGGATGGTGCATCGTCGGAGGGCTTGTCACTGGGCAAGGAATATGGCATGACATCAGGAACTTGAGATTGTTTAAGCATGTTTAAGATGTTTTTGTTTTTTTTTAAATGTATTTTGCTATGTTTTGCCTTGTTTTTCAAGCTGGTTCCAACAGGCGGATTCTTTCCGACTTTGAAATAGCTGCGCCGCCGTATTTTGCGGCATATCCCATGGCAAAAATTCTGCGAGGTTGCCATTCGCCCTGCTCCCCACTGTGCTTTCGGATGTGCGGCACATGGGTTTGCTGCTGGCTGGTGCTCGAGGTATCTTGGAGGAGCGCCGCGAAAATCATCACCGCCACATCTCACCGTGATCTCACCGTGATTCGCAGAAATCCGAAGAATAAACCGTGATAAACCCGAACTGATTGGTGGTTTGGAATATTTTTCCATATGTTGGGAATAATCATCCCAATTGACTTTCATATTTTTCAGAGGGGTTGAAACCACCAACCAGACCGTGATAAACCCAAACGTTTGGACATGTCTTCAATGATTTACTACCTCTACAGTGTAAAATGATGTAAAATAGGTCATTTGGAGGTTGTTTCTTTGGCTTTCCTTGTGTTAGCCTGTGAATCACGAAGTGTCACGACAAGGATCATCTCTTTACTAACTTTACTAATTGTCCCTTACTTAGTAAGGGATTATTTTTCGGGGATATTCACCCCATCAATCAACCTTTGCAGGAAGGGACCCGCAAGTTATAAGTTGCTACAAGCGCTAGCGTTAAGTCGTATCAGCTCGTAAAAGTCGTATCGGGAGGCCGTGCGCCTGGAAAAAGTTCAAGTTTGGCATCACCACAACTTTTAGTAATTGAACAATTTCATTGTTTTGGGGCCGTGCGCCTGGAAAAAGTTCATTTTTTTTATTGCGTTGATTTTTAAAAAATATATTTGATCATTCTTTCAAGGGGGCGCTGCTTGCCTGCTGCTTGCCTGCTACTTGCTGCTACTTGCTGCTGCTTGCTGCTGCTTGCTGCTGCTTACCTGTTGCTGCTTACCTGTTGCTGCTCACCTGCTGCTCACCTGCTGCTCAGCTGCTGCTCACCTGCTGCTTGCTTGCTGCTTGCTGCTCCATTCTGCTGCTTGCTGCTACTTGTTGCTGCTTACCTGCTGCTGCTCACCTGCTGCTGCTCACCTGCTGCTGCTCACCTGCTACAGCTAGGTTTTGCTACAGCTAACCCACTTGCATTGCAAGAAATTTGAGGCTGTACCAATAGGGGTTTGATTTGGTCACGCGACGCAGGACATCAATATAATATATTCAAATCCAATAGGATTAGCTGCCGAGAATTTGTTTGTATTAACTTGTGCCCTTCAAAATCATCGCTGTGCGCAATGCTTCGGCTACTTTTAACTACATCTCCAAGTATGGATGAAACAGGCTGTGCCATGGTGATTCTTCTTCCCTGATGTGACTTTCCACTACCTGATGTGACTTCTCCGTATCGCCGCCGTGCCATGGGGATGATGTGACTTTTCCCGCCTGATGTGACTTAAGTACGGTGCTCGTATGTGCCATCTGGTTATTTAACATAGCCATGGAAAATGGCCCATAGAAATAGATGGTTTACCTATTAATAGCATGGTGATTTTCCATGGCTGTGTTAGTCATAACCAGATGGTAGCCGTCGATTTTCGGGCGGTCATCATCGCACTGTTTTCCAGAAAATCTCCACAGAAACGCATCTCCAGAAATCCAGTGCGTTTCGATGTGTGATAAATGTGATATCATGTTGCGATACTGTATGCACATTATTTCATATTATTTCTTTGTTTATTTACACGCACACTTATATACGTGTATATATATATATATATGTCTGTGTGTGTATGTAGAATATCCCTCCTATTGTCCCATTCTTACTGGCAACGTGCCATTCTCCGCGGACGGAGGAGTGGGACTTGGACACCGGCTTGAGATTGGACAGGATGACAGTGGCTGAGGTACGCAGATGGTTGGTCGTTTTTGATTCGTTCTGTGTGCCCCAGCCAGTGATCTTTGTTGGTTTAGACAATGGAAAAACAGCGATTTAATGTGGTCAAAGCAAAAAAAAAAAAACGACATCCCCAAATCGCCATTTTTCTTGGTGGTATAAACCAACCATTCCCAGTAATGGGTGGTAAAAATGGCATTGGTTTATCCACATTAGGGATTTCATGGGATTTTACTGGTGATTTTTCATGGGATTAGCCTCTGGGAATCCAACGATGGAAAATCCCCGTGGCTGGGGGAGTTTCGAGCAAGCCACCAAACAATTGCCGGATGGTTTTTTAACCCATTAACGAATAACATGTGTTTATATCAATATCAATATAATATCAATATCAATATAATATCAATATATATATATGTATATATGTATATATATATGTATATATATATATATGTATATATATATGTGTATATATATATATATACCATACACCCTAGTTAACCACGTCATAAACCTACATAGCTATCATTTAGGGCCCACCTCATAGTTGTTGGAATAGTTGGCTGACCAACCAGTGGACAGTTAAATATCATGCTTTGTTTGGATCTTTCAGATCCTCATTTTGGATCAGACCTTCTCAGCACTTTGTTTTCCCACACCATTCAGACAGCTGTAGATTTGACCTCTAGAAATATATCTATATACAACCTAGAAATATGTATAATAACCTTGTTGGTGGTTTGGAACATGACTTTATGACTTTCCATATATTGGGAATGTCATCATCCCAACTGACGAACTCATATTTTTCAGAGGGGTAGGTGGCTCAACCACCAACCAGTTATGTTATATCTACATATATAATCCCATCATATAACCATATATAACTCATAAGTATATAATCCCATCATATAACCATATAACCTATATATACATAATCCCATCATATAACCATATTTAACCACTATTATTGGCATTATAACTAACCACCAACCATAAAACCCATTGGGAACCTCATAAGTAACTGCGGTGACTCTCTGTCGGATGTTTGTTTTTGGGGATGCGGTGGTTTCACCCCAACTATTCGGAGATTTCTACGAAGAGCTGCTAGAAACTATGTGGTTTACCCTCTGGTAATGACTAACATAGCTATTGAAAATGACCATTTATAGTGGATTTTCATGGATTTATATGGTTTACCCTCTGGTAATTTGTGATTCATATGGATTTAATAGGATTTAATGGGATATGAATGGGATAAAATGGAGATTTCATGAGATAAACTAACAGTTTGCTATATGGGATGATGACATCCATTTATATATAGATGACTTTCCCCAGTAACCAATTATAGATGATTTATATATAGATGATGACCTTTACCCTCTGGATTTATGACTAACCCATTATCTCCATATATCCTCTGGTAATGACTAACTCTGGTAGAAACTATCCCAATATATGGCTAGATAGATATCCCATGATGTCTCCATATACCCTCTGGTAATGATTAACATAGCTATTGAAAATGACCATGGAAATAGTGGATTTTCATGGATTTTCCAATTAAACATGGTGTGGATCTTTCCATAGTTTTTTGTAAACGTTTACCGGAGGGTAACAATGGGGGTTGACACATATTTGGGAGCATTCACCATGGGTGTAACTAATATGACCACAACAATTAACCCAAATCTCCGGGCAACACCTGGCCCGCCTGGCCGCAAGATGATGTAGGATGGGATGACTCAATAATATTAACCATGGGGGTCTAACTAATATGATGGAATATGGATTAACCATTTGGAGGCTGGGATTAATATATGCTGGTTGGTGGTTTCAAACATGTCTTATTTTCCATATATGGGATAATCCTTCCCATTGACGAACTCATATTTTTCAAGATGGTTAAAACATGTTAAAACCACCAACCAGTATGGATTAATATTCCATACATATTCCATATATATATATATATATTCCATATATTCCATATATATTCCATATATATTCCATATATTCCATATATATTCCATATATATTCCATATATATATATATACCATATATATTCCATATATATATTCTATCTAAATATGTGGATTACTCAATCAAAAAGCATCCGTTGCAGCGCCACATCCACAGGAGGATGCTGATGTGGTCTCCATCGCGGCACCTCAGTGGATGCCACATGAGGATGGGCCTTGGAGAATCGAGAAGTGACAAGCATAAAATGGGATGATGACATCCATTTATATATAGAAGATTTTCCCCAGTAACCAAATATAGATGATTTATAGATGATTCCCTTCATTTATGGATGATTTTCCACTATCCTCTGGTAAACGTTTACATAGCTACAGAAAGATCCACCATTTTTAATGGGTAAATCAACTATTTCTATGGCCATGTTCAATAGCTATGTTAATTTACCAGAGGGTAAATGATGAAGATATAGGGGAAAAATATGGGGAACATGGTAATTGATGATCATCATTTTTCCAAGAATAAGTTATCAACAGTTACCAGTCTCCATAATTGATGATTAGATACTGTACATGATTATAGGGAATACTGTAGATGGGAACGTTCCAGACTTGAGCTCGAAGGCATCTAAAGGTGTTTAATTCTGTGTGTATATGTGTGTATTTGTTTGTCTGAAAATAGGGTATGTAGTTAAATCCTCTGGTGAATCATCATATTATCTCTATTCTCCTATTGATACAGCCATTTGTTTGTTGTATCCCATAATTAGAGGCCAAATCCCCCATGAGGACCATGCTTCTTTTGTTTCTTGTACACCAACTATAATCAATTACATACATATCACGTATAGAATAGAGTATATGGCTATGGATCAATACCTACAGATGTCATTTCTTACAAAACATCCAGATCCATCCCAGCTATTTTGAGTTATTTTGATGTTGACCGGGTACCCATCGGGCCCGCAGGTCTTAGCCACTGCCGTGAACTGCCCAGAGGAAGCGGGGCTGGCGCTGTTGCGCCGGGAGGCGGGAATCACCGTGAGATTTTGGAGCTTTGGGTTGGTCGACAGGGGAAAATCTGAAGGAAAAACATGGGAAAACACTAAGAGATCATGATCAAAAGCCATGGTTTCCGGATGTGTCCAGTTGAGATTTTCCCCAAAAAAACCATGGCCATGATTTGTATTGATTTGTATCATCAATCTTAAGGTCTAGCTATGGATGAAAACAAGAATTCATGATATCATCCGTATAGGATTTTCATCCTTCCCACTGAAAATCCACGCTTCAAGCCCTGATTTTAACATACGCCCTTCGAGGCCGACGTATGGCAAGTGGAATCTCCATGGCCTAGCACACGGCAAAAAACAGGCCCGGGATGCCATTGGAATTCCATAGTCATGCAGGTACCCCAATAGCTGGACGGTTTATAATGGAAAAAAGCAAACAAAAATGGATGATTTAGGGGTACCCCCATGGATTGGAAACCTCCAAATGATGGTTGTTCTCAGGAAAATCATGCCTCCAACTGTTTATTTCAGGCTTGTGAGTGGGATATGGATATCCATTGTTCCGCATCCACGGATAGTGCCTGTACGGACAGTGGCAATATGTGGCAGTGCTGGAAACAGCGTTGAACTCAAATGTGGCGTTTCATGGGAATGCACCCCAGTTGCAGACCATTTAGAGACAGACAAATAGTTTAGACTAGAATGGAGAAGGCTAAATCACATAGATGGTTAGCTATAGACAACAAAAACACTAGATAGATGAACAAAAACACTAGATAGATGAGATGATATTGATAGATAACTATACAGTGCCTCAAAATAGATTGGACCAGATTAGCTATGATAGTCTTATCTCCCCCATTAACTATAGTTATATCATCTTCCCTCTACCATACATTCAATGGGAATTTCAGGACCCAAAAATGAAGCTACTGTATCATATAAGGCGAGATGTTGTGGTGAGATTCCCTGCAATTATTACCCTCGCAAATTAGGCCTTATACTTACATATTAAGTTAAGTTTGTTCCTCCAATTTAGCCAATTTAAGATTTAGGTACAAGGTGAGACCACCAGTACTAAGTTGGTTCACAAGCCCAGTTATAAGTTGTTGGTCTATAAACTCATGAACTATAGTCGACTATAGTTATATTCCTTATAAACCGATCAGCTATAACTTGCATTAAACCCCAATTCTTGTTGGTCAAACCAGTTTCCCTTGGGGGGGGCTCAGCTTGTACTTGAAATGGCCATTGATAACCCATCAACTATAGTTAATGATATAGTAGGTATACCTCGTATATATATATATAGTATTTATTTATAGATCTATATAGTCTATATCCCCCATGAAAAGTGTAACTATAGCTATATCATGATATATCTCCCATCAACATCATCCATAAACCCCCAAGGATCACCTCCATTAAAGGCTGGCGTCACCTGGCGCGTTGTTCACGCATCGAGTTCTTCCCTTCCTCGCAGTCGGTGCTGGCCATGGGCCAGTGCCTGGGCATGTTATAACGACCTGTCTGGGTAAAGTCACTGGTTTTTTCATGGTTAGTAAGGGGAATTATCCCAGAGAAGCCTTATTTCAGAGTAGTGAATTATTATAATTTACCCAATGTTCCATCTGACTTGAAGAGCTTCCCTCTTGGATGATTTGGATGTGAATTTTTAAGCATGGAAAGTGGTGCATTACTCACCATAGATCTAACTGGGGATACCCCATAAGTATTCATAATCAATTACCCAGTATGGGATCGTATTCTTTATCCCTATGATATTTATTGACTTGTTTTATTATATAGATGATCCTTAATTTCACCATATATCTTATTGAAACTATAGGTTAGCATTATATTACCCTCTGGTAAACTAACATAACTATGGAAAATCACCATTTTTAATGGGAAATTCCACTATTTCTATGGCCATTTTCAATAGCTTTTTGTATGTTTACCAGAGGGTATATGGAGATATTTCATGGGATATCTATCTAGCCATTTTTGTTGGGATTGGGACTTTCATGTGGTGTACCCTCTGGTAAATTAACATAGACCCTGGCAGTCATCGGGGTTGGAAGACTAGTTTCCATTAAAAATTGGTGATTTTCAGGGTCTATGTTAATTTACTAGAGGGTATATTTTTTAAAGATCCATATTAGCTAAATATCATTACCATCTGGTTATGACTAACGGTTTGCCATGGAAAATCACCATTTTTAAGAGGTAATATGCAGGTTTCCTAAAATGGAGCTACCCCAATGGCTGGATGGTAGTGTAAAGCCCATTAACATGGATGATTTGGGGGTACCTCCATTTTAGGAAACCTCCATATGGTGTGTAGGTTAGTTTTCGAATGGGATATGGGGATATCTAATCCTACAACATCATGGTATATCATGGTATATCGGATATATCATGGGATAAGATATAATGGGGGATCTATATAGTCTATATAATATACCCTCTGGTTATGACTAACATAGCCATGAAAAATCACGATGCTATTAATAGGTAAACCATCTATAAATGGGCCATCATGGTATATCATTGGTTACCCTCTGGTAATTTAACATAGCTATTGAAAATTACCATTTATAGTGGATTGACCCACTAAAAATGGTGATTTTCCATAGTTATGTTAGTTTACCAGAGGGTATCCCTACAGTCTCCGAGGACTTCGGCCTTGGGTTGCCATGAGATCGGCCTCTACGACGTGGCCTTCGACCCCCGGCCGCTGACCACGTGCGGAGGCCCAATGTGCGCCCGCTGAAGCAGAGAAAAAGTGCGCTTAGATCAGATGAAATCCATGGAAAATCCATGGAAAATCTACGGAAAATCTATGGACAATCTAGTAAATCTATGGAAATCTAGTAAATCTAGTAAATCTATGGACAAATCTATGAAAATCCATGAAACATCTATGGAAAAATCTAGTAAAACCTATGAACATTTCGTAAAATCTCTATGAGAATTGAGGTGAAATTCATGGGGCAGATATCATGTGAAATTCATGAAACAAAAGCAGAAAATTGGTTGGGGGCAGATCCAATTTCATAAACCAAATTTAGGGATGGTTTATATATATCATTGGGTTTCTTACAGTTGGGGGTTATCATACACAAACATCTGAGACATCATGGAGATACATAATTTGAAATTGGAGTTTCCCCTACCGAGTTCACAATTCCTTGGTCTCCTTGCTTTCCAAGGTATGGCATCCATGCAGATAAACAGAGATAAACCGAAGCATGATTTCCTGCTGTTCGGTTGGCTTGCCGGATTTGAATTTTTCACATCAACACTCATCAACAGCTTGACATAGGAACTTCATCTGAAAATTGGGGATGTGGGGTGACTCAACGCTAACGTTTTGGACCAGCTGTGACACGTTTAGCCGTTTCCCCAAGGTGCCAGGGACACTTCGACTTCGTGGCGGATTTGTGTTCCATTTCGTCCCAGGTCACCTGGGATGCCAAGCGACGGCACATACTATTGCATATTGTGTCCAAATTGTTTGCGGATTGTTTGCAGGTTGTGTCCATATTTGTGTCCATATTATGTCCATATTGTGTCCATATTATGTCCATATTGTGTCCATATGATGTCCATATTGTTTCCATATGATGTCCATATTGTGTCCATATGATGTCCATATTGTTTCCATATACTGTTGCATATTGTGTCCAAATTGTTATTTCCAGATTGTTTCCATATTGTTTCCATATTGTTTGCAGATGGTTTACATGGTCTTTCCACATCTTATATATGGCTTACCTCCATTCTTTCAGCCTCGCTGTCAGTCCTTTGCCTCTGTGGGGATGGATGGCTCTATGCTGCAGCTCAGCGATGGCGATGCGTTGGAAAAATCCTGGGAGACCCGAAATCCCCAGAGATTTTCTCCAGAAAACTGGGTGAAATCCATCCGAAATGGGTGAAATGAAGCATTTACAGGAACATGATCCATCTTGAATCTAAGGAAAAACCACCACTTCCTGTAAATTTCCCAACCCAAATAAAGGATCTCCGGGCATCTCCATGGATTTTGTTGGCGTCTTGGCCCCAGGCTTTGGGATTTTCGCAGCCCTGGCCCCTGCAGCAAAGCGGGCTTCGGCGCCAAAGGTGCGCCGGAAAGTTTGTGGGGAAGCCTGGCGCCTCCAAGGAGGTGACACTAGGCCACCAACAACTTATCGATTCAAGGTCGAAAGGTTGAGCCTTTGGGGCTGGTCCTAATCGCAACTATCTATATCTAGATCTATTTCTATATCTGAATCTATATCTATATCTATATCTATCTCCATATCTATATCTATCTCCATATCTATATCTATCTCTATATATCTCTATCTGTATATACTGTCCGTTGTTTTCATGCCCCTCCGGTCCTCAAAGCCGGCAATCCGCCCCCATCTTGCCATGGTGCCATTGTGGGATGACTATGGATGCCCCTTGGGCCCCATTGTGGGATCTCACCATGACACGTATCTTAAGTTACCGCATCCAAAATTGGGAACAATCATCGAACATTTCGAACATTTGAAGGACCCCAGTTCTAGAAAGTAATCATCACAATCATGGAACATTTGAAGGATCCCAGTTCTAGAAAGTGAATACAATCATCGAAAATTTGAAGGATCATCCCCAGTTCTAGAAAGTGAGTATAAGTGAGTGTTCAATACGTCTGATTCGTAATTCTCGCTTCGTGGGTTGTCCCATTCGTAACAGTCACTATTCCATATTGCATCATATCATATCCCCTATTGTTGATGCATATGATGAATTACATCATATCCTTGTTTGTGGTTCAGAATCAAAATTGTTTCCCGATTTTATATCATCATTTATAGTTCATAATCTATATTACATCAGAATCCAGCATTTCTCCCCATATTTTGAGTTTCCCATGGCTAAGCCAAACCCTGAGGTCGTCGGTGGCCAGCTCTCGCGGCTTGCTGCTTTGTGGCAGCCTGGGCGGCGATCTCTGTCGGGGCGCCAAAAAAATGGCCTCCGAGCACGTGGAAAAAGGTCCATGACCATGAAATACGATGACCAGGAAAAACTGGAACTGACAGGAATGAAATTATCACAGTGTTTTTTTAGCATTTAAGATAGGATTTAGATTGAAAAACATGGGAATTCACTTACTTTTTTGAGCTTGTGGGGTTGAAGGGTATAGGCTAGGTATATGCGGTATACGGATGGTTGGGGGGAATCGTCCAAGAATCCTCAAGCAGCTGGCTTTTCTCTAATTCAGCAAGGTGGGATTGGATAAATCGGATAAGATGATGGGATGAATAAGCATCTTTTGAAAAATATGTATCCCAAGAATTTGTGTTTAGAAGATGTGTTGGATCTGGACATGGGGAGGGTTGCACCGAAAACTCGTACTTCGTACTTGAACATGGCAATGGAAAACAATACTTGCAATGGCAAAAACATCTGCAAAAAGGGAAGTTTCCCCTGGAAGAAGCTTATTGACCCCTTGTTGAGGTTCCTTTAAGGGCACACATGGGGCACTCCAATTATTTCCACGATAATTCTGCGCGAAGCTGGAAGTTGAACCAGCTGAACCTCAGATGTCATCGCCGAGATTGTGATGTTTATTGACTGAAGTTTAGGGAACGCCACTAGCCACATGGAGATTTTGAAGGACCTTTCCTGGAAGAATCTGCATGTGTTTCAAGTATTTTCAAGTCCTCCAAATTCGGATGAGTACACCGGTAATCAAACATGGCAATGGTAAATCCATGTAAATCCACTACACATATCTATAAATTGGAATTTACCGTGAATGGAAAACCATATATACACGTTGTTGATATTCCATTGCCATATACTGCCTTGGAATACCGGAGGTATATCCAATATATTACAATATATTCAATTCATTTCCGTTTCACCACTGAGGCTTCTTTGATTTGCGGAACCTGTCAGAGCCGCTCCTTGGCGCAACAACTGAATGACACGTAAAATGTGGCACGTTAATGAAAGACAACTCTTAATGGATGGCTGAAAAATGGAACATAGAAAACCATGGTTCGTACCACTTAGACTTGGATTGAGGTTTTTCTTGCAGATCCTTCCCTTAAGCCCAACCGTTGATCTCCCTTTGCATAGTTATCTCTTCATTGTGCGCGATATATGTGCATACATATACACATTTACATATACATATCATACATATATCATACTTACACATACATATCATACATATCATATATACATATCATATATTATATACATATCATATATACATATCATACATATATCATACATGCGCACACATCCCACCGTGGCATGTACTATCTATGGACCGCCCCAATTGTTGGTCCATGATGGTGTACGCTGGTGGATTCTCACAGGTTGATGCGTCCACCTTCCGTCCGCGGAGCTGTTGTCGCTTCGTTTCGAACGGGGCCGGACGGGGCGGAACGGGGCCGGTGGAATCTGAAGCCACTGAGTCAGCGGATCCCGAAGCGGTGTCGTCAAAGATGGCAATTGAACATCAATGAAAATCATCCATTTAGATGATTGATGATGATTGTCTCATTAGGTTAATAGATTGTTAATAGATGGTTAATAGATGGTTAATAATGGTTAATAATCACTGGTTGATGATGATTGTCTTATTAGGACCATTCATAGCTGATGTTCGCTGATTTTCCACGTTAGATACCTTGATCATCCAAGGTGATTCTGGTGCTGGAAATCCCTATGTGTGATACCGATACCTTTCCGCCGCTGAATTAAAATGACTCGGTTTATAAGGGTTATAGTAACTATATGTTTCAAATATGTTTCATATATGATTTGGTTGCCAAAAAACTTCAGGTTAGCCTTTTATGGTGGTTTCATCCCCAGTTCCAATCATTGATATCATTGGGATAACCTGATAGACCTGGTCTAGATACTCGCCGGTCACAGAATCCGAAGGACCTAGGAGCCGATACATTGTCTGGTTGGTGACTGGAACATTGGTGAAATGTATGGGATAATGATTGTTAATAGATGGTTAATAGATGGTTAATAATGGTTAATAATGGTTAAAAAATGGTTAATAGATGGTTAATAAATGGTTAATAGATGGTTAATAATCACTGGTTGGTGGTGACTGGAACATGTTCTATGACTTTCCATACATTGGGAATTTCATCATCCCAACTGACAAACTCATATTTTTCAGAGGGGTAGGGTACTGTAGGTATACCACCAACCAGCTAAGTAGCTAAGTATGATCATCAATGGGATTTTGCACCATGTTAAACCATACAATCACCATATATTGTGGGTAGGTTATTGCACCACCAACCATCATCATTATATAACCATCACTAACCATCATTAACCATATATTAAGCCATATATTAACCATATATTAACCATACAATCACCATATTTCAGAGGGCTAGGTGGCGAAAAACCACCAACCAGATAGCCTCCAGCCTTCGTTCGTGTTTGGATAGGTGAAGTCTGCGGATTGGTTCGTTCCAAATCCGCAGCTCCTGGCAGTTTTTACGGATTTCTGAATGTCGCAAACAGATGTAGATCAGTCACTTAAATCATCTTAAGTCACTCAAAAATCTGATTTTTGTTGTTAAATCATGCTAAATCCACAAAAGATGGTCCTTCTATTCCCATCTTTGTCTTATTCTTCATTTTTTGAGTGTGCAATCCCATTTTTCAGAGAGTGAAATTCTTGCTGATATCCAGTTTTTCTTGCTTTTCAACTCCTATCTTTTTGCCAATTTCGATTGAGTGTTTCATAGAATTGGATGATGGGAAAATTTTAACCGGAAAGCCCATTCAATTTGATGGTAAAAACCCATGGGTTTCCGGTTACGATTTTCCCAAGAAAACCAATCCATTGAGTCTTCAGCTGTGGATTTCTGGCCGAGGTGCGGCTCCAGCTTTGGCCCCTTCGCGAACAGTTGGTGGCTGCAGTAGTCCCCTGGCTGAGGCGTCAACTGGCAACATGTCGTCAACTGGGTCCAATTAGGGAAAATCATATCTTACCCTCTGGTTAACGTAGCCATGGTATAGATGGCCCATTGAAATAGAGGTTTGCCTATTAATAGCATGGCGATTTTCCATGGCAAACGTACATCTTAAGGAATCTTCTCATGGAAGGGATGGTTTTTCCTGAAGCCGGGGCGCCACATGAGCTGGGCCACGCTCTGAGGCGTCTTCTGAGGAAGGGCTTTGTTCGCTCAGTGTAGGAAACCTTAGATCCTGGCAATTTGGCTTTGGCGAAAGACATGGATTCCAGGTGCCTATTTTTTAAAAGCTATGTTCGGTTTATATATATAATTTTTATAACTCAATGGAGGTTTCAATGGGAAAACCATGGATCATTGGTTACTAAATGCTTCTGACATCTGACTAAATGAAGGTGTTTACATGACGAACTAACTTCTTTGGTAAGCCCCTTGCCATGGATTCCCAAGGGCAAGTCCTCTAGGATGGCTGATCCATCTCAAACCACACACCTCATAGCATCCAAATGATGTCGGAATGTCGGACGTGCGTGCCACAATTACTTTGCAGCACAAGAAAAAAATAATGAATACATTTTATTAGATACTGATCATATATTGCATAATAGACATATATGATGTAGAATTATGTATATATTTATTAGTAATCATATTAGTACTAGAATGAATTTCAAAAATTTGACTTACCCTCTGGTAATTTAACATAGCTATTGAAGCCATGGCCCAGTCGAAATAGTGGATTTACCCAGCTATAAAATGGTGGATCTTTTCATAGTTACGTAAACGTTTACCAGAGGGTATCCCGCCTATCCCCTTAGTCATGTTCTCGCGTTGACCTCTTGAGGTGGGTGGATCCTGCGGGACTGGTGTGCTGCATGCTGCGCGATACCAGCCACCTCTGGAGGAGTGCTGCTGTGCTGCGTGGATTGCTGGCTGGTTATGGCTAGGCGACATGAGGTAGCCTCATTGCCTAGGATTATTGTAATATATTCTAATTGGGATTGAACATGATATAACATTTTAACATTGCAGGCCTATGATTCTATATATGGGAATCCCTGTCAACCATGATCAGGGAATGAGCAAGGTTTTTTTGAACAATGCCCATATGACACATGTATACACATGTGGGGTAGAATAGCCATGCCAGACTACGGGAAAACACCAACCCCTTGCGTTCACAGTTCCATTGGAAAGTCCATGACCTGTGGCCGGAGATGGAGATAAGTTGGAACAACATCGGCCGTTTTTTTCACGGCAAAGACCAATAGCTCGGCTCTTTCCCATTCCTTCCCTCTATCGTTTACCTTTTGGTAAGCTAACAGAACTATGAAAATCACCATTTTTCATGGGAAAATCCACTAAAAATGGTGATTTTCCATAGTTATGTAAACGTTTACCAGAGGGTAATGCCAAAATGCACGACCCGAGAATAGCTTCTCGAAGCCGTGGAAAAGATGCATCTCACAGGAGCCTCGGCTCTTTTATGATGTGGCCTGTGCCGGCTGCTATGGTGCAGGGCCAGGTGGGATCGGTGGGCTCCTGATGATCGTCATCACAAATTACCATGGTTATCACAACCATAGTCTTTATTGGGGATATGATACTGATGATGATGATGAAGAAGGGAAAACGGCGCAACATGCTAAATAGGGAATTCATCTACATCCTCAGTGCATCCTGAAAGTCAACAGGGCAGATGAGATTGGGTCCTTCATTTCCATGCAGCTTCCACAGACTGCTTAGGGTTCATCAAGCACCCCTGTTAAAACAAGTTAGCATGTTAAAACTAAAGTAGAGACCATAGTAGGGACCCCAAAGGATTGTGTTGGATGTTGGGTTCGCTTTTCAAATTCGGTGGTGTAACCCAGTGTAAGCATTTGCAAATGTAAACTTGGAGATTTGCGTTTGCATTTCATTGCGTTTGATGAGTTAATCTTTGCCCGCAATTCTTACTACAACCAGACGGCTATTTGCCATATCCTCTGGTAAACTAACAGTTTGCGAACTGGAAAGATCCACCATTTTGTAGCTGGGTAAATCAACATAAATCAACTATTTCGACTGGGCCATGGCTTCGCTATGTAAACGTTTACCGGCTAATTCAACCACTTTTTTGCGCCCTGGAGAATCCATTCAGGGCCGCCGTTCAGGCCATGTCATCTTTGCCTGCAGCGATGGTACGGGTGTCCCAAGACATGCAGCAATTACCTTCTGGTAAACGTTTACAGTTTGCTATTGAACATGACCATAGAAATAGTGAGTTTTCCCATGAAAACTGGTGGATTCTTGCATAGTGTTTTGTATGTTTACCAGAGGGTATGTGTGCATATACTGTATACACAATTATACGCGCACACCCACACGACACACACACACACATATATATATATATATATGTGTGTGTGTGTGTGTCGTGTGGTGTCCGCTTATTTCATGTTATGTTTGATTGTCTTTGTGTATGTGTATATGTGTGCATCTGTGTAGATGTAGATGTGCATATATACATGTCTGCGCATTTTTTCGAACTATCTTTGTATTTGCAACCAAGGCCAAAAAAATACCATGTTCATCGAATTTCATCGAATTTCATTTGTGCTGAGGGTTTTTGCACTCCAAGGCGGGGTGACCCGGTTTCAAGCAGCACAGCGCGGCAAAAACAAAAAGTGTGTCCCAGCGCGCCAGGGCGGTGTCAACATGTGTCAACTGCCTCGCTATGGACAAATCCACATTTACATCTGTTTGTAGGTGATTTCAGCAATTTTCGCATGGAGGATCATGTTTTTTTCTGGTCGCCTCATATTTGTAATTTTTGCCTAGAAGGCCATGTAATCTATACAGATCATGGGTATATGATTTATTTAATCATTGTCCATTTTCGTAGTTTCTTGTTCGATTTTGCATCTGGTCGGATTGCAAGAGGGCCGCGTGGAACAGATTTTTGGATGATGATAGATGCAGAATTTGGGTACAGGCAATGCAAGAGATTGTAAGAGTAGTACTTTAATGTGGAGGTATGCAAGGACTAATGTGGGTAAAACAATGCCATAAATAAACCATCCCCCAGTCATCACCATAAATATATAGGTGGGATTCAAACTCCCAGTCATGGGTGGATTATGAGATTGTTTTACCATGTTTTACCCGCATTACCCTCTGATAATTTAACATAACTATAGAAAATCACCATTTTTCATGGGAACATTCACTATAAATGGTGATTTTCCATAGTTTTTTGTTAGTTTACCAGAGGGTAATGCCAAAATAGCTGCTACTTCCGTACCAAATGTGCCAAAAACCGCGGTGCCAGGACTTGTGATCGCCATGGGGGCGCACCGCTCGCAGCCGGCGAGATGGGAAAATGGCAGCGAGGAAAGCACCGTTGTGGCGCAACCTGGCAATGAAAGAACTCAGCAGTCATGACTCATGTCGATATATGAATAGTCTGGTTGGTGGTTTGGAACATGAATTTTATTTTCCATAATATATGGTATGATCCTTCCCATTGACTTTCATATTTTTCAAGATGGTTAAAACCACCAAACAGATAGTTCATGAATTTCTGTCCCTGCTTTCAAATTCCATAGGGAAGCCTTTTAAGCCAAAGTCTCGATATATGTTGATCATTGTTGATCATGTGATTGTGTATGGAACCATTCTATGAACGCTGGCTGATTGGCTCCCACCATTTGCACAAAACAGAGTTGTGAAAAACATGTTTGGCCCAGAAATGGCCCAGAAAAGTCTAGTGTCAAAGGAGGCCCTTTTCAAAAGAAACGGAACACTTTCCCACCTTTGTCAAGCTGAACTCCCAAGAAATTTTCACATTCTCCAGACCTCCAGCCAATGCATTGTCGACATTATTGATACACAACCATTGATATATGGATTGATACACCATTGATATATATATATATAGATATATGGATATAATTATCACCAAAAAAACCAATGGCAATATCCAAAAAAAACACAGATATTCACAGATTATCACATTACCAATGGAATCCAATGGATTAAGACCGATATGAATGTAGACCTTTCCCCGCTTCGCATCGGCCGCGATGCGCACGGACGTTTTTGTGCAACTCGTGCCGCATGGCGATCTGGGATCCGCGGAGGGCGTTCACCGGAGACATTGTGACTTGGCCACGGTTGAGACTATATATCTATCCTGGACCTTCCAAAGTACAGAAAATTCTGTACGATTGGGATTTCTGCATTTTTGGGCCGGTTGAAACGTTTAATCTTAAATGTAAACGGTTTCAACAAAAAGTGAACTCTTTACAGCAGTTCTGACTGCCACCTTAGATATGGCACGGGTGGTTAAAATATCTTGCCGCAATGGGTCCCTCATAATGTACCGATTGGAACTGCTGGTGATAATGTCCATGCTTTCCTAAATTTGCAGAGTTTGTGTTGGTGATTGGAGCCCGCAAAGATTCAAAGCCTCAAACATGCAGGAATACTAAGCTATATTTGAAAATACTTAGTTTGAAGCATGCTTAGTTTGCAGAAATAACAGTTTTCATTCCAACAAGCTGCGATTTGATGCGATTTGTCACATGCATGAACCGCAGCAGTTAAGAAATCCCGATTTGCGTACTTTTGCGGATATTTGCGTATTTTTGCGGGAAATTTGCGTACTTTTTGCGGGAAAACTGTCGACATTTTTATTGAATTCAGAGCAGTTTTGGAACTTCCTGCAGGCATTTCTTCAAAAAAAACATGGGCGTTCTGTTTTTTTTTACAAATTAGACAAAAACAGGCTGTTTCAATTCAATGGCTATAGCGGTCTGGTGTCTCCCATCCAGCAAAGATTGCTTTTAGCGTGGCACCAAAGCCTTCTTTGAGCAACTTAATTATTTTGTCATATTCTTCACCAATCTTCACCAACCGGTAGATTTGTTTTTCTTTCCGTCTGCTAAGCAGGTCCACTTTGTTTGTCAACATGCAGAAACTCCCATCTAGCATGCCAAGATACGTCAAGTCAGCTTCATTCTTGCAATTTCATGTTGTTCTAGTGTGTTTCTGAACGATTGGTCCAATTTGAACTATTTGCGGCATTTGCGGTTTTTTGCGGTCATTTGCGGCCAAAAGCCCAAAAGTACAGAAATTATTGAACTTTGGAAGGTCTAGGATATAATTCTATATACATATATATATATATATACACACACACATATATATATATATATATGTATGTATATGTATATGTCTATATACATGTAACTATGCTTTTTAATAGTGTTTCACATTCTTTCACATAACTTCTGGGCCCCTTTTTGTTGTGTACTACGGTGAAGTTCATCACCCCCTTTTCGGCCGTCGCGGCTGGAGGTTATTGGTTTAAACCCGATGCACCGTGGCGGAAGTTGGTCACCGCCTGGGCTGCTGAGAATCGCTGGCGCCCGGAGGATTTGCAGCTCTCCAGCGTCACCTTGAACGCTTTGGGAAGGGGGAGAGCCGGGGAGAGATGATGCAGAAATGGGTGACTGGTTGGTGGTTTCAAACATTTTTTATTTTCCACAATGCATGGGATAATCCTTCCCATTGACTAATATTTTTCAGAGGGGTTGAAACCACCAACTAGGTGATATATTACCCTCTGGTTATGACGAACATCGCCATGGTTTTTCGATGGCCCATAGAAATAGATGGTTTACCTATTAATAGCATGGTGATTTTCCATGGCTATGTTAAACAACCAGATGGTATATGATCGGTATATGGTATAATATGGAGATATCCACCTTAAATACCATGGGTTTATAATACAACTATGGAGATATACTATTGTTTTACTATCACCATAATAATTTATCACCATAACATATGGAGAATTTGTAAATCAACAGTTGCAGATGTTAGTCTTCTGATGTCTTTTGTCAGGTTTTGGCAAACCATATACCCTCTGGTAATTTAACATAACTATGGAACATCACCATTTTTCATGGGTAAATTCACTATAAATGGTGATTTTCAATAGTTATGTTAGTTTACCAGAGGGTAAAGAGTTGAATGAAAAGAATCGCAGTTTGGGGTTGCCAAGTTCGATTCATCGCCAGGTGTCGGGCGGACGGAGCACCAAATGGTTATGACTAGCATAGCCATGGTTTTTCGATGGCCCATTTATAGACGGTTTACCTGGGTTTACCTATTAATAGCATGGTGATTCTCCATGGCTATGTTAAATAAGCAGATGGTATATATATATATATCCATATACACATAGGCTGCGTAAATTTCGAGGAGCATGTCTTGATGCCTTGACGGGGTCACAGTCAGAATTGGCTTAAGACAAATATAGATGTGGCGTGATGTGACAAAGCTGCGGGCATATGTTGATTTTGATACCCGAGGGGCCACCAGATAGTTGATTTTGTCGATGACCGATGACCCAAATGCTGGCATCACCACAAGTACTGATAGAACCTGTTTGGTCTAACTACCATGGATTCCAAGCAATTGGACACCCCAAACCTTGATTTTGAAGGTGTTTGGTCATTTTGACCCACTTTTTTGGAGGGTGGGCACTGCAGAAATCCAATTTCATTCCTTGTTTCTTTCTCCATGGGCTGATCCTGTTTCACAATCAAACAAATTCGAGGCCGGGCGCGATGTTTCGTTGGACTCCACTCCGATATCCAGCGGACTTGCAAGCGAAGATGTCTCCTTGAATATTTCGGCCAAGCCTGGTGCACAGCAGATGGAAAATCAGGTGCCTTGGCCCAACAACCTGACGCGTGCAACGACCATGACTTGATAATGGATGAAAAAATCAACAAGCATCGGGATTCAATATCTTCAAAGAGTTGGAATTTTACACGATAAAAGGTTGGGGGATCAATTCAAATATTGTTAAAAAGGGCCATGCCTATACATGGGATGATGGTGGATGATGATTCTGTTGTGAGTGTGCTTTCAGGGGGCCACCAACATGTTGGTGATTGTTGGTGATGTGTTGTGTGTACCATGCATAGTGCTTTTGTCCGCATGTTTGTTGGAATGTCGTGCATGATTTTCAACTGAAACTGTAGCACTGTAGCATCAACCACATGCCAAATGCAATGGTTGTCCATATCTACCCTCTGGTAAACATACAAAAAGCTATGGAACATAGCCTATTTATAGATAGTTTACCTATTCAACATGGTGATTTTCTATAGTTATGTAAACGTTTACCAGAGGGTATCCGATAATCTATCCATTTCCCTTGGATGGAGCCACAAGAATTCTTCATGTTTCATAGTTTAAGGTATATTTAGTTACCAGTCATGTTCATTCATTTTCAACTCTCAGACTTTTGTCGGAGTTGATGTTTCAATCCACTTGGTTTCATGAAACACCTCATACTGTGGATGATTGCGAAATCCTGCACCACCTTGGATGGTTAAAACAGGTTAAAACCCTATAATTTAATGGGATAAACCACCTATATACCACCTATAAACTGGGGGATTTCTTCCATCCACATTAATCCAATATTTGGATCACCTGCACCAGGTTTCCACCCCCTCAGCCGACACGGTGGCGGTGCGCATCGTGGCCTTCTGCGACGCCGGGAGCTGCGCCTTGCGTTTCCGCGCGCCGCGGACCGTGGCGCTGCGGAAGCTGATGCTCGCGTGGTGCGGGCGCCAGGGGCTTGCCATGTCGGAGGTCATCTTTCGCTATGGCCACCTGGCGAGAATTGACGATGGGCCATAAGTCAATGGCCATTCCAGGAACCTAAATTGGAGGTACCTACCATATATAAGGCCTATATAAGGGGTATGTAAGGGAATATCCCCACAAAACATGGCCTTATATGGTACAGTACCTCCATTTTAGGATCCTGGAATTCCCATTGATTGGGGTTTTAGTCAAAATCGCGTTCAGTTGCCCGAAAAAAGTGGCTGAAGTCTAAACGTTTATGGTAGATGTAACATGATATAACTATTTGGTTGGTGGTTTGGAACATGAATTATATTTTCCCCAATCGTTGGGATGATGATTTTATCTGACGAACTCATATTTTTCAGGGGGGTAGGTCAACCACCAATTAGCTATAGTTAATGGGGTCTATAAACTAACTTATAACTGAGGAGCCCCATCCTGTGGGCATTTGTGTTTTTTTTGTTCGTGGAAGAAATGAACTATTCGGAACTGAGGTTGAATGCAAATGAAACGTAGGTCAGCCGCCAGCCCTACCTAATTGTATAAATTCTAGGAGAAAACACATCCAATTTCATGTTTGAATGATTGGGAGGGAGGGAAATTGCAGAGGGCTGAGGTTGAATGCCATTTTTGAGAGTGTGAGTGATGAATGGCTTTTTTTGGGGGGCATCAGGCTGGGGTTCCACATGGTTCAACCATTTTTCCTGGTTAGGAGCATCTTCTGAACGGAAAATCGTGCAGAATATGCCAGTGATTCTATCCCTAGAGATCCCCATGAGTACAACCAGCCACTTGTAAGATGGGAGATATGTTTTTTTTTAAAAATATATATATATATATTTATTTATGGATAGATATGATTTGTCCACAGATTTTTCTTTAACATTCATATATTTTAGAATCAGCCAATGATGATGGATGGTATATGATGGTATACCAAACCGGCCCCTCTATTTACCAAAATTTATAGATATCATGAATGCAAAAAACACATAAACTTGGATTTGTACTTGTACCAATTTTCGGTTTGTCTCAAAAGATCAGATACCATCAGATACCCCAAAATAGCAAACATCAAATAAATATATGCCCATGGTTAAAGTTGAGTTTTAAACCATGGCAGTTTTCAATTTTGAAACAATACCTATGTGCCAGCTACATCTAACCGCTGTAATGAAGGTTTCACTCCCTTCACTCCCATCAAACCAACGGCAACGGCAACGGCGTCGCAGGTCATGCAGAACTGTCGCCCCGCGACGTCTTGGGCACCTTAGCCTCGACCACGGAGCTGGAGATCCACGCGGAGCCGCGCATGGACGCGGACTGCTACGTGGCCACCACGGCGCCGATGGCGGAGACGGAGACGACGGCGCCAGGCCCAACGGCTCCCACGGCTCCCACGGCGCCGGCGACGCCGGCGAAGGAGGAGGAGAAGCGAGTGCAGGTTGGGAGATGGGAAGGTATATTATATGAAGGTATATTACATAGAAATATGTATAGTTATATATATATATAAGAGCTGGGGGAAAAAGGGAAGGGAAAATGAGGAGTTGGAATAATTGCTGTTCTGCCTTTAATTTCTCTGGGTTCTTATTTTAATATCCGTGACATCCCATGGTGCTGCGCCGCCAGGTGCAAATCGCTGCCAAAGGTCTCCTGGCAGAACGGGTGAAGCAAAGTCCCAACGGCATGCGAACCCTGAGCTTCTGGACCAAGCTCTTCGCTCCCCTGGGGAAGGCGTGAAGAAAACTGCCCCAGTTAGGCCAGTTGCATATGGGATCAGAATGGATATGAATGGATCATATGGGTGGTGAAGAAAACGTGCATCAACCAGCAAGTTTATAGTGCTGGTAAATACATGTCAGGGGGTGCGGTTTTCCATCCTGCTATCCAGATCTATCCATCTCCCCCACCATGGCACTTTGAGGCGCAATTATCGGGCCCCCGGATGTAAAACCGCCATTCCCCAAACATTCAGCCTTATTTAAGCACACTTTCCAGCCAAAAGGCTGATAGAGTTATGAAAGTTCTCATTGCCAGGTGATGACCTACAACCTCCATGTAGTTTGAGGATAGTTCTCATTGCCAGGTGATGACCCAGCCTTCATATAGACTCTCATTTGAAAGGTAAAATATGCATAACATATGTAAAATCCATGAAATTCAGACATGTTCATAGCCAATTTCGGCTGATAGTTCCATTTCCACGGATTTTTCAGGATCTTGAAAATGAGGATCTAAGGGTATGCCCTTCCTACCCCAATGGCATTGCCAGGTGATGACCCTGTGGTGCAAACATCAAAACCTCCCGCGCGACTCGGTGCTGTTCTTCTCCTCTGGGCCGCTAGACTCGGACGCCACGGCGGCGGGCCACGGCTGGAGCCCCGGAGAGTTGGTCGTGCTGGACGCGCTGCTGGCGACGGATGAGGCGGCACAGGTGGGGCCATGTGGGGCCCCGTTTTGGGGCGCCGTTTTGGGGCGCTGTTTTGGGGGATGGAAATGATGTGGAAAGCGGAAAAATATCGGAAAATTCTGGGGAAATGATGGGGACATGATGGTGTAAAGTGTAAAGTGTTGAAGAGCTATGGGATGGGAAACGATGAAAAGCATGTGGATCCTGAAAAGTGATGAAAAAGGCTGGGGAAAAACAATCAACAAAGAGCATTGGCGAAATGCAACAAACATGCTGGAAAGATGTGATGTGAGTAAGCCACAAAGCGATGTGTTTTTCTGAGATAGGTTGGACACTCCAAAATATATTTTGCCAAAAAAGGTGTTGGTTAGCACGTTTTTGTGTGGGTTCCACCATCTCTCCCATCTTGCCAGGGTTTCCTCGCTCCACCATATTGAAATCACCTTTCTGATGGGTTAAAGGCACCATGTTTTTACCATTCAACCACCATTCAACCACCATTAAACATATTAAGCCACCATTAAACCACCATTAAACCACCATTTAACCACCATTAAGCCACCATTGAATCACAATTTAACCACCATTCAACCACGATCCCATCCCTCAGGCGGCCGCTCGCGCCGCCTCCGTTGCCACGGTCGCCAACGACGCGTCGTCGCCTCCGACTCCGCGGGCGGCGGTCGCCGGCGCCTTGTCGGTGACGGTGCTCTGCGACGGCGCGGAGCCGGTGGATTTCAAGATGAAGGCGACCACAGCATTGGAGACGTGGCATACCTGGCAGATTTCTGGTGGGTGGTGACTGGAACATGACTGGAACATTGGTAAAATGTATGGGATAATGATGGTTAATAGATGGTTAATAGATGGTTAATAATCACTGGTTGGTGGTGACTGGAACCATGGAATTTTATTTTCCATTTCATATATGGGATGTCATCCTTCACATTGACGAACTCCAATATTTTTCAGAGGGGTAGGTTGAAACCACCAACCAGATTTGTGGATTTTGTGGTGGTTTTAGAAAGATGTTTGGGATGATCCCTGAGATTTGGGTGAGACTGGAGGCTTACCCTCTGGTTATGTCAAAATAGCTATTGAACATAGCCTAGTTGAAATTTCGTTGATTTGCCCATTAAAACATGGTGATTTTCCATAGCTGTGTTTGTTTACCAGAGGGTAAACTTAATATGTGTTCCTATGTTCTGTTTCAAAGATGTTGAATGGTTGCACATTTGGGGATGATCTCTCAGGATGATCACATTTTGGTTACAATGGGTGTGGGTCAAAACCGGAGGTGTAGCAGTGTAGCATTTTCAGGATGGAAAATCCATGATTTTCCAACCTCAATGATGGTTCATTGATATTCATTGGGGGTGCAGGGTTTTGATCCACAGCCAAGCTAATTACCATATTTGGGGTGATGATCCTTAATGACTCAGATTTGGTTGATCATCAGCTTTTCAGAAGCGCTGTGAGCGTTGGGTTTGTGGACATGTAAAAATGCCTAATTTGGCACTTGGTGTCCACCAACTTAATGACTAATAGATACTAATAGTGACTAATACATATAATGACATGTAATGACATGTGATCTTTATTTATATATATATATATACATGTTTCACTTCTGTTCTTAATATCAGCTATAGCTGTCTGAACTATTGTTCATATATCTCAATTTGCAGACGATTTTTCCGTTTGGAAAACCCATGGGGTTTCCGAAACCATCTCTACGCGGAGCGTCTAAGGAGAAGATGATGGTGGCATGGAGGAGATGGGTGATTTTTTTCGGCAACGGAACGCTCCGAATTGTTGGTTGGGATGATGGTTAGGATTGCTTGGTACAGTTCATTCATGTTCATTAAGGAAATACTTCATATTAATCCCTATGACTTGTATGATTTGTCATAAGGAAATAAAATATTGGAAAATTAATGTTCATTAATGTGCATTACATACCGCAGTTAATTGCATAATGCTACACAATTGATGTTAACAGATTCATTAATGTTACTTATACAGTCTTATACACCACAAGATGTTTTTTCCCCTTCTGCCCGGGGGCGTATGGAGGAGATGCTGGCATCTAGGGGATCCTTTTAAAGGTTTGCCTTCCAAGAAATATTGCCATAGATTCGATGCAAGCGCATCATCCCTCAGAATTTTCAGGTTTCGAAGTCTTCCATGTACCCTCTGGTTATGACTAACGTAGCCATGGTATAGATGGCCCATAGAAATAGATGATTTCCCATTAAAACCTCCATTTATGAGGGGTTTTCCATGGCTATGTTAAATAACCAGAGGGTATATTATTGGAATCGCCATTGGGAGAAAATCCAGAGATCCCAGAAGAATTTTTGACATCCCAAGTTGGTTTCAACCACATGGGACGATGATCCTCAATGACGTTCCATGACTTTCAGCTGGCGCAACAGATCACAACCGCGCAGCAAATCACAGTGACCCCATGGATTTCGTAGATAATTCACCATTATTATTATATAACGATTATTTCCCTATGAAAAAAACCATAAAAATCATAGGGATTAATATGAAGATATCCATCATATTCCATATTTCCCATATTTTATGGTTATCTCAAGTTATCTCCATATGGAAATGACAAATTCCGTTGAAGATAACCCTCTGGTAATTTAATATAGCTATTGAACATGGTGATTTATAGATATTTTTCGTGGATTTTCCCATTGAAAATGGTGGATCTTTCCATCGTTTTTTGTATGTTTCCCAGAGGGTACCCAAAAAATTGCTGGCTAATTATATTTTATCCAATTAAACAGCTATTTTTGGGCTATTCACCATATTCAAACACCAGTTATGTCCAGATGGAAATGACAAATTCCGTTGAAGATAACCCTCTGGTACTTTAACATAGCTATTGAAAATGGTGATTTATAGATATTTTTCGTGGATTTTCCCATTGAAAATGGTGGATCTTTCCATCGTTTTTTCTATGTTTCCCAGGCCGAGTACCCAAAAAATTGCTGGCTAATTATATTTTATCCAATTAACCGGTTTTTTTTGGGCTATTCACCACATTCAAACACCAGTTATCTCCAGATGGAAATGACAAATTCCGTTGAAGATAACCCTCTGGTAAACTAACATAACTATGGAAAATCACAATTTTTCATGGGAAAATCCACTATAAATGGCCATTTTCCATAGCTATGTCAGTCATTACCAGAAGGTACCCCTCAAAAAACCTGGGGATTTTGAGAGGAAACAGTGCCAGCTCCCAGCGGACACTGCGGTGGACTTCCACGACGGCCATGATGTGCTGAGCGCCAAGGATACACCGCGCAGCCGCGGCTGGCCCGAGCGCAATGAGGTGCGGAAGTTTTTCAGACAAGTCGATGGTTCAAAGTTGGGTTTTCAATGGTTTTCAGATGTTTTAGGCTGCTGAAGACTATCTGAACTTCAGACATTTCATGGATTTGAGGAGAAAAAAAACATGAAAAACTTACTGGTGCTAAACGCAGGGATTTTTTCGGGAATGATCCACTGGCTAACTATCAATAATCATCCCAGCAACCCCCAGCAACCCATCCTTTCCCTACTAAGCACCAGTAAGAACATGAAAAAACATGAAAAACACCATGGAATCTAGGAATTGGGGCGGAACAGCCGAGGTGATCATCGTCAAAGCATCTACCGAGCCTCGCCAGCTGTGCTTGGCGCGGCGCGGCTTTTTTTCCCCCTTTGGGAATCAAACGTGGCAATTAAAAATCGATGAACATCGATGAACATCGTTAAGTTGAATCTAGACATTTGGTGTTCAATAAGTAGAAAAGACACATGATAACCTAAAGTTCAAACCAGTATATGTAGAAATTGTGTTTTATGGTGTTTTAATGTGCAAAAAATCGATCAAAATGGATTTAGGACTGATGGATTGATGCCATTTCGGGTTGCATCATCTTTTGCATATTAATGATCATATAAGATTCCCGTATAACCACTAATTTAAGTCTTTGTGTAGGGTTCTGTCATTTGGGATTTTTGCTAGTTTCTGAGGGAAACGAATTTCCTATAAATGGAAATGAACTGAATGAATATGGAGGGATTCATCTTTTTTTTGATATTCCTGATAAAATCGTTTGATAAATCAGATAGGGTTTCTGCAAATCATGGTGATCTTAGGGGTGGTTTATTGGCTTTACCCGTGGTTTAACACATGAAAGTATCAACGAATTATGACAGATCTACTTTATTGTAAACTAGCTTTAAGTGAGATATCTTTATCTACAGATCAACTTTGATTGATATAATGATATTAGATTATTCGATATTGATATGTTAACTCAGTCTGTTCTTCACCATCTCAACCGCCTGAGATTTCGCAAAGGAGGAGCTGCTTTCAGCGCCCATGCCGCCCGCTGCGCCTGCTGTGGCGCCGGCAGCGACAGCGCCTGAAGGTGGCTGAATAGGATCACTTCATGGGGATTCTTAGGGTATTACCATGGTTGACCTACCAATTTTTCATGGGGATTGTAAGGATTTGACCATAGAAATGACCTATCGTTAAATGGGTGAAACTCACAGAGGTTTTACCTGGGGATTTGGATGTGGGAGCCTCAATAAGTAGTGATATAGGGACCCTGTAGGCTGAGGGCTTCATCATCACCTCACCTTAAGGGAGAATCGGTTGTCAAGTTCCGACAGGCTGATGGTAACTGGGGACCATCTGGGACTTTTGACTTTCCGAAAGTTGACATTCTTGGCCAGCCACATGTTGTGATGCACCATCTCCTCAGTTTCCATCTAGAGAATCGAAATCTCAAAATCCTTGATATACCCTGCATCCTCTTGCAATTTAACGTAGCTATTGAAGCCATGGCCCAGTTGAAAGTTCGTTGATTTACCCAGCTACAAAATCCTCCATTTGAAGATCAGATTTGATGATGGCCGCTCTTTGCGAACTGGAAAGATCCACCATCTTTTAGCTGGGCAAATCAACCAAATTTCAATGGGCAATTTTCCCGCTATGTAACAAATTACCAGAGGGTAAAATCCCTTGAAATCCCTTGAAACATCATCTGGTTGGTGGTTTGGAACATGAATTTTATTTTCCATTTCATATATGGGATAATTTAATCCTTCCCATTCACGAACTCATATTTTTCAAGATGGTTAAAACATGTTAAAACTACCAACCAGGGATGTTATAGCTATATCTATATATAATCCCATCATATAATCATATAACCACTATTATTGGCGTATAACCACTATTATGTTAAAACTACCAACCAGTCATGGATCACCTGCATGTTGATTCCCATTTGGACTCCTGTCCTCGCCAGGTCCGAAAAAAATCTCGCTGCAGGTGGTTGCAACAGACCAGGAGATCCCGGTGGGAACAATGGCTACGGAACCAGCGGCGTTTCCTTAGCCATATACTCCATGTATGGTAGCCTCTGGTAAACATACAAAAAGCTATGGAAAATGGCCATAGAAATGGTGAGTTTTCCCATTAAACATGGTGATTTTGCATAGTTATGTTAGTTTACCAAAGGGTATATTTACCTACAAAACTGGGTGATTTATATATGTTGGGCAAATGTTGGTAAATATTCCAGCACCATGGAACATATGGGATACAGAGGATTGATGAGCTGATTTTCATAGTGGTTCTATGGATTTGTTTAATAGAATCTCTAAGCTGATTGATGAGTTTTATAAGGGTTTATAGTGGTTCTATGGGATTTAGATATGGTTATATATGATCTGTTAGGATACATGCATTTCTGCCATGTTTTCTTTTTTCTGTGAGTTTGATCAGAAAGACCTTCCATTTTCAGGGTGCATGTGATTCTGTGTGGTGTTTGAAACAGGGTTTTGTATGGATCTTTTTAACATCTGACCTACCGACCGAGGGATGCACATCGAATCGAACCATCCGACCTTTGTACCAGTATGTTATTGACATTTATTGACTATTGTTTACTATTGTGAACACCCCCCCATCCCCCAAAAAATCATTCGCATCCCATGGCAACTGAGGTTCTACTCGGTTCTACCATATCTATCCATATCTAGGGTCAGCCACGGTGACTAGCCGTCATTGATTCGAATCCATTTGTGGCTGCTAGGGCCAATTATTGTGAGAACAAAGTACCACAAAATCTCATGGTTTCTCATCATGTGGACACACCAATATCATATTATATCATATTGGTGGTCATATTTCCCACTGTCCAATGATATTCCCATCATATCCCTGTTCACTTCCAAATGTTACAGGTAAGTCATGTTGAAACCCTGAGTTCTTGGTTCGTCATATCTCTCCCACGGGTTTCTCAAAAAAACCAGGACGGTACCCACACCGTGACCTTCAAGTTACGTCCCGATTCGCCACTGGAGAAGATGATGAATGCCTGGTGCAAGAACATGCAGGTGCCTTTTCGGGGGCCTGCAATGTACATAATCTGGTTGGTGGTTTGGAGCATTTTTTATTTCCATAATATATGGGAATAATCAACCCAACTGACTAATATTTTTCAGAGGGGGTTGAAACCACCAACTAGTAATAATTTGATAATCCCATCCCCCCCATGAGCCGCATGGGCATGGATCAAAAATGAACTAGCCCAATAATGAAGCCATGGCCATCTCAGGAACCGAAAAAATTGGAGGTACCGATTCCATATATGTTTGGCCTATGTATTAGGCCTATGTAAGGGGATATCCCCACAAAATATGGCCTTATATGGCACAGTACCTCCATTTTAGGATCCTGGAATTCCCATTGAATAATTGGATGGTTAATACGAAACCTAGACTTAAATCTGTGGTCCCCGAAGTCATGAAAATTTTGACCCAATCAAACGTGGCAATGGAACATCTCCCAAAAAGACAGTTGATTTTCCGGTTCAAACCTCCATTTATAGGGGATTTCCAAGTGCTATGTTTGATTAAGGGAGGATAGATCAGACCATATTCTAACTTAATCACGGCTTAGTGGCTGTGCTGGTAACGGGATAATTACTCCAGCTTTGTGTACAATGATTACTAATTATTTAGTACTGGCTGGTGGTTTCAAACATGAGTTTTATTTTCCATTTCATATATGGGATGTCATCCTTCCCATTGACGAACTCCATCATTCTTCAAGATGGTTAAAACATGTTAAAACCACCAACCAGAATACTATTTAGTAACAATTTAGTACATGTTTTTCCGCTAAAATCGCGAATTTTAACGGTTATTTTAAAACATTGGGATGGGTGACAGCCACAGATGTGGCATTTCCGGGTTGTTTTTACATTGGGCAGGTAGACCCTTCGGCGGCGGTTTTCGCAGCTTGGCGGGGGTTTTGGGATGGTACATGTGTGGATGGATCCAGATGGTAGTTGTTACCATCTGGTAATTTAACATAGCTATGGAAAATCCATTATAAATGGAGGTTTGATTGGGAAAATCATCTGTAAATGGTCCATTTTCCATAGCTATGTTAAATTACCAGAGGGTAGTTGTCCTTATCCCCATGGAAATTTCCAAGATTTTCAGGGGTAACTCAAGTTAGCCCATTTTCTAGGTGGGTTACTTGAGTTACCCCCCTAAAGTTCCATGTTTTTTTGGGGGCGGGGCAAGCCTCCCAAGTACTCCACCAAGGTTTGCCCACTGTGTGGGGCAGACCATTGGGGCACCCGGCCCACATACAGTGTAATTTAATGTGTATCCTGGTACAGGATCTTCATCATCCATGGTATTCATGTGATTTCCCCAATGGGGGCTTCCAGGTTTTTTCACCCATATCCAGTTGAGGTTTTCCTAATCCATGTTATTCTGGGGTTATCCAGTACCCATGACGGATCCATGGTGCTGGTATATATATATATAATATATATGCTAACATTTACCATCAATATACCCCCTTTCTGTTAGCATTAATATACCGGCACCATGGATCCGTCATGGGGTATGTTGCAACCAGTAAAAATGACCCAGAAACTCAATCTGGGTGTGTCTGAAAATAGTGTACCCCTAAACCCAATGGTTTTGCTGATCATTATCCCTATTAAATGGCTATTTGTTTGGGAATATACCCAACATTTTCAGACAAACCCATCTGAGTTTTCGACTCAACTCAGACGAGATGCCGAGGAGTACCGTGGTCAGTTGCTACAACCGCATGACACCCTACAGCACTTGGGCTACGATGGGAAGGATGACACCCTGCCCGTGATTACGGCGAGACCCAATGGCCCCAATGGCCAGGCCAGGCACCGATCGGGATTTCCTAGGGCCAAAGTGAACCCCCCAACCGGATAGAAAGTTGATTGGTGGCTATAATTGGATAGAAGTGAACCAGCCAAAAAGATCCAAAAAGGCCAAAGATGACCATTTTTTGACTACCAAAGATTGACCATGAGTGGATCACCAGAGGGTAATAGGATGTTTCCTAGGCCATATGATTTGCCATGCATGGAGTGCGTGATGATACTTCCAAATAGCATACCACATCTTACAAAACCCATCCATCTATTGTTTTTGTTGGTGTAGTATTGGCATTGGTGGTTGGATACCATGGTTTGGTTTGGCTGCCTGCATCAACCTCAAGGGATTGACACTAGATGTCGTTGTGTCACCATATTCATCGAGCTGCAGTGGGACTCTCCCCACTTTAACCACGTCTGTCTTGCTGGTGGTGTTTTTTTTGTTGGATGACATGTTCTGGTTGGTGGTTTGGAACGTGAATTTTATGACTTTCCCTATGTTGGGAATGTCATCATCCCAACTGACGAACTCATCTTTTTCAGAGGGGTAGGTTGAAACCACCAACCAGTCATGTTATATTTATATATAATCCCATCATATATAACCACTCTGATTGGCATTATAACTAACCACCAGCCGTTGTGTTTTCATTGACTTCATCATGTTCCGCCATGGCAGGGAACAGTGACAACCGTGACCCCAGTGGCCGCAGCTCCAGCAGCTCCGGCAGCCCCGGCAGCCCCGGCAGCCCCGGCAGCCCCGGCAGCAGCATCCAGCGATGAATTGATTTTAGTGCACATCATCTCCATTGGCGAGGCGAACTGGGCTTCGGTGGATGATTTCTGAAGCTTTTGGAGATGAGCGATAAAAAATGGCTAGCTGGACATTTAAAATGTAAAAGAGACATATTTGCCCCATGTTCATCCATGTTCTATGTAATAATTAGTTAAAACATAGTGCCCGTTTCGCTTCTACCTATCACTAGTGAGGCATCATGGCAAAACTCTGGCACAGATAAACCTTTGTATGGGCAGCAAACACCAAGTATTGACCGACACCTCACTGAACCGGGACATGGTTGAGACATATGATCTAAATATTAAGGTGGTAGCTTTGGGTAATCAAGCACGGCCATGGTAAATCAGGGATTGCCGGAGGGCAAAATCAGACTTAGCAAAACCACCGGCGTTTTTGGTCAACATCAGAGACCGCATTGCCCCGCAGCCCGACCTTGACCTGCGAAGCCAGGATGGACGAAACGTCTTGGACTTCAAGATGAAGCCCAGGACACCTTTCAAGACAGCCTTGGATGCATGGTGTGACCATCACGGCATTCCGCAGGCGCCTTGGGGTCATTTGGGGTCACATGTTGCGGCGAGGTTTGAAAGCCATGGACAATAGATGTGGTGTTTGTCAATATCACTGTCCAATCCTCATGTCATCCAACCCATACTTTCCGAATATAACATGAAATGGGTTAAACATGGCTCAAAGATGTTCAAAGCGAAAAAAACCATTGCGGACATCCAACTAATCCCTTCCTCCTAATACTAAACCCCCCCCTAATACAAAACACGGCAGGTAGTTTTTAGTATTAGGGGGGTATTTATTATTAGGGAACCAAATCGAAGTCATGTTAATTAATTAATTAAATTTCCTTATATAACGCAATTAAAATATTGCCAAAAATGGCAATTCGAAGCTTACCCCTAATTGCTAGAGTAGCTAGGCAGCTTGGAGTGAGGGATTGGGACTAGGCCCCCCTAATACTAAACACCCCAGGGTGAACTAGTTTTTAGTATTAGGGGGGAGAACCCACAAATGGTAGGTTGATTTTTAAATTGTTTTTTAAAGGGGATCAATTAAAAGTCAAATTGGCCAAACTGAAATTTTCGGAAATTGGAGATGGATGCCTGTTTTTAGTATTAGGGGGACGTTTAGTATTAGGAGGAAGGGATTACATACTCCCCATAAACTGATCATTTCATCAATTTTCCATTAAGCTATATTCCTAAACCCATCAGTCCATTAAATCGTCCATGGAAAATCCCTATGACATCTCCCATCAAACACCAGTTTTCTCGTTGAATCTTCCTCAAAATTCCCATCAAAATTCCCATCAAATTCCAGAGCTCACCTTTTTTCCTCGCAGGACCAGGTGCTCTTCGAATTCCAAGGTGCTCCGCTGTTGCCATCGAAGTCCCCTGCAGAATGCGGCTGGCAGAGCGCCTTTGGCACCTTGGAGATCGAAGCACGACCCGTGGGAGGAGATGGGGACGGAATGTTTGCCGGGAAAAGCGGTGTCAAAACATGATGAAACGGACATCAAATGGTGGAAAACCATGGGAAAATCTAGGAAAAATGCTGGGAAAACCACAGGGATGCTGGGAATACGCGGGGGATTTGCTGGTGAGAAAACCCATGGTGAAACCGAATAGATTTTTCATGATAAAACCATTTGAAACGTGGCAAACAAACATCACAGTCACATGTGGATCCCTTGAGTTGGTCACATGGTCAACCAGCTGTGGCTGTCCAGAGGGCGCTTTAAGGTTCAGAAAGTCAGATTATTCAGGAAAAAACGCATGATAGTAACAACAGTCAAGAATAGTATGTAAAGAATAGTAAACACAGTCATGAGCGAGAGAGAGAGAGAGATAGAATCAGAGTTGTTCTTGGAGCAAAGATGTTTTCTAAAAGAAACATCATGTCATAGCTTATGTACAGTATATAAGTATATAGTTATAGCATGTTATAGCAATGACAGTAGTGAAATTGGCATTGCACCCTGGGAGGAGTGGATGATGAGGAAGCCTTAGCCTTAGCGGCGACAGGAGCGATTTGTTTCAATCGTCATGTCACCCATGACGAATCCATGGTGCTGGTATATTAATGCTATATTAATGCTAACATTGATTGGGGGTACCCTCTGGTAATGACTAACATAACTATTGAAGCCATGGCCATAGAAATAGTGAGTTTTCCCATTAAAAATGGTGGATCTTTCCATAGCTACGTAAACGTTTACCAGAGGCTTTTTGTTGATTGGATCTATGGAGCACCATATATGGCAGCACCGCACCATGGATCCGTCATGGGTCTTCAAGTCATCCCTAATGACTTGGATGATAACTGGGGTACCACTTGGCTGCCAGTGACCCTCTGGTTATTTGTTATAGTGAATATAGGGAAAATGGGGGGAATATAGTGGAAAATCATCTATAAATCATGGAATACCCTCTGGTTATTTAACAAAATAGCTATTGAAGCCATGGCCCAGTCGAAATCGTTGATTTACCCAGCTACAAAATGCTGGATCTTTCCAGTTCGCAAAATGTCAACGTTTACCAGGGGCTAATTGATTGCTATAGGGAAATATACTAACCGTTTTTTTGGGGGGGGATTCTGATGGACCCCTTAGGATTGGGAAACCTTTTTGCCAGTTATGCCCTATTTTTTGCAAGTTGAATGGGAAATCGGAGGATTGGAAGATCCTGTTCTTTCAAGGAACATCATCCGGTTGGTGGTGACTGGAACCATGGAATTTGTTAAATGACTTTCCATATATTTCCATATACATTGGGAATGTCATCCCAACTGACTCACTCATTTTTCAGAGGGCTAGGTGGCTCAACCACCAACCAGTTATGTTATATCTATATTTTTCATCCCATCATATAACCATATATAACCACTATGATTGGCATTATAACTAACCACCAACCGTTGTGTTTTCATAGCCATCATTGGCCGCTGGGATTCTCCAGCCAGCCTTCACCACACCAGGAGATGAGAAGATCGATGTCCAGGTCTTGGCGCTCACAGACACCGGAACAGCCACATCTTCAAATTTCAAAATGAAAGTGACTTCGTCCTTTGAGAAGATGATGAAAGCATGGTGTAAATTTCAAGGTGTTCCTGAATCTATGGCTGATTTCGAATTCAATGGCCAGACATTATCGCCCAAAGACACGCCCGCGGCATGCTCATTTTCAGCAAGAGATGGTGTCATGAGGATCACTGCCAAACCAAAAGAGGAAACAGCGGCAACAACTGCCTCTGCAGAAGTGTCCCAACATGCAAGCCCACCAATGCCTGAGAACGGACGACAAGAGAGCGTGCAAGAGCAGAATAGCACACAACCAAGCGACGACAACGAAAAGGTGTCCATTCAAGTTGTTGCCCATGCTGATGGCGGTGACAATGTGATAGATTTCAAGATGAAGTCCAGTTCAAGATTGGATAAGATGATGAAGGCATGGTGCAAGTGCAACGGCACCCCTGAATCAGATGCAGTCTTTGAGTTCAATGGCAGAGAGCTATTACCAGAAGACACACCTGCATCCTGTTCATGGTCTTCACGCGATGGTGTCATGAGGATCACTGCCAAACCAAAAGAGGAAACAGTGGCAACTTCTGCCTCTGCAGAAGTGTCCCAACATGCAAGCCCACCAATGCCTGAGAACAGACGACAAGAGAGCGTGCAAGAGCAGAATAGCACACAACCAAGCGAAGGCGATGAAAAGGTGTCCATTCAAGTTGTTGCACATGCTGATGGCGGCGACAATGTGACAGATTTCAAGTTGAAGTCCAGTTCAAGATTGGATAAGATGATGAAGGCATGGTGCAAGTGCAACGGCATCCCTGAATCAGATGCAGTCTTTGAGTTCAATGGCCGATTGCTACTACCAGAAGACACACCTGCATCCTGTTCATGGTCTTCACGCGATGGTGTCATGAGGATCACTGCCAAACCAAAAGAGGACACAGCGGCAACAACTGCCTCTGCAGAAGTGTCCCAACATGCAAGGCCACCAGTAGCTGAACACAGACAACAAGAGCAGAGTGTGCAAGAACAGAATAGCACACAACCAAGCGAAGGCGATGAAAAGGTGTCCATTCAAGTTGTTGCCCATGCTGATGGCGGCGACAATGTGATAGATTTCAAGTTGAAGTCCAGTTCAAGATTGGATAAGATGATGAAGGCATGGTGCAAGTGCAACGGCATCCCTGAATCAGATGCAGTCTTTGAGTTCAATGGCCGATTGCTACTACCAGAAGACACGCCTGCATCCTGTTCATGGTCTTCACGCGATGGTGTCATGAGGATCACTGCCAAACCCAAAGAGGAAACAGCGGCAACAACTGCCTCTGCAGAAGTGTCCCAACATGCAAGCCCACCAATGCCTGAGAACGGACGACAAGAGAGCGTGCAAGAGCAGAATAGCACACAACCAAGCGAAGACGATGAAAAGGTGTCCATTCAAGTTGTTGCCCATGCTGATGGCGGCGACAATGTGACAGATTTCAAGATGAAGTCCAGTTCAAGATTGGATAAGATGATGAAGGCATGGTGCAAGTGCAACGGCATCCCCGAATCCGATGCAGTCTTTGAGTTCAATGGCCGATTGCTACTACCAGAAGACACACCTGCATCCTGTTCATGGTCTTCACGCGATGGTGTCATGAGGATCACTGCCAAACCCAAAGAGGAAACAGCGGCAACAACTGCCTCTGCAGAAGTGTCCCAACATGCAAGCCCACCAATGCCTGAGAACAGACGACAAGAGAGCGTGCAAGAGCAGAATAGCACACAACCAAGCGCAGACGATGAAAAGGTGTCCATTCAAGTTGTTGCACATGCTGATGGCGGTGACAATGTCATAGATTTCAAGCTGAAGTCCAGTTCAAGATTGGATAAGATGATGAAGGCATGGTGCAAGTGCAACGGCATCCCTGAATCAGATGCAGTCTTTGAGTTCAATGGCCGATTGCTACTACCAGAAGACACACCTGCATCCTGTTCATGGTCTTCACGCGATGGTGTCATGAGGATCACTGCCAAACCAAAAGAGGAAACAGTGGCAACAACTGCCTCTGCAGAAGTGTCCCAACATGCAAGCCCACCAATGCCTGAGAACAGACGACAAGAGAGCGTGCAAGAGCAGAATAGCACACAACCAAGCGAAGGCGATGAAAAGGTGTCCATTCAAGTTGTTGCACATGCTGAGGGCGGTGACAATGTGACAGATTTCAAGATGAAGTCCAGTTCAAGCTTCGATAAGATGATGAAGGCATGGTGCAAAAATCACAGCATCCCTGAATCACAGGCAGTCTTTGAGTTCAATGGCCGAGAGCTATTACCAGAAGACACACCTGCATCCTGTTCATGGTCTTCACGCAATGGTGTCATGAGGATCACTGCCAAACCAAAAGAGGAAACAGCGGCAACAACTGCCTCTGCAGAAGTGTCCCAACATGCAAGCCCACCAATGGCTGACAACAGACGACAAGAGCAGAGCTTGCGAGATAAAACCCTTTCTTTACAGACTAAGGACGATGAAAAGGTTTCAATTCAAGTAGTTGCACGTGCCGCTGGTGGTGAGAATCTCGTAGATTTTAAGATGAAACCCACCTCAAAGTTCGACAAACTGATGAAAACATGGTGCAAAAGTAACTGCATTCCCGAATCAGATGCATTCTTTGAGTTCAATGGCCGATTGCTACTACCAGAAGACACACCTGCATCCTGTTCATGGTCTTCACGCAATGGTGTCATGAGGATCACTGCCAAACCAAAAGAGGAAACAGCGGCAACAACTGCCTCTGCAGAAGTGTCCCAACATGCAAGCCCACCAATGGCTGACAACAGACGACAAGAGCAGAGTGTGCAAGAGCAGAATAGCACACAACAAAGTGAAAGCGATGACAAAGTGTCCATTCAAGTTGTTGCACATGCTGAAGGCGGTGACAATGTGACAGATTTCAAGATGAAGTCCAGTTCAAGCTTCGATAAGATGATGAAGGCATGGTGCAAAAATCACAGCATCCCTGAATCTCAGGCAGTCTTTGAGTTCAATGGCCGAGAGCTATTACCAGAAGACACACCTGCATCCTGTTCATGGTCTTCACGCGATGGTGTCATGAGGATCACTGCCAAACCAAAAGAGGAAACAGCGGCAACAACTGCTTCACCCAGTGCCAAGGACCCTGCGGACCCTGCGGACCCTGCGGACTATGCGGATGCGGCCAGCAGCAAAGACAAGCCAGTTCAGGTTCAGGCCTGCGGTGCGGATTCCTACCGGTAACTGATCCCCTAAACAGGTGGTTTCACCCTGACCTTTGGGATCCACGTGCTTTCCCGCTGACATTTTGCTCCCACTCGAACTTTTGGGGGTGGATGACCCAAATAAAAAAAAATGTGTTGTCACATGTTTTGGCGCACGGCACGTTGTCGTTCTTGTTCCAAGCGGAGTTTCCCCATCCAACAAGTTCGGAAGGTCTCTGCAGCGGGCGCCAACGGTGAGCAAGTGACCAACTTCAAACTGAAAATGACCACGAGCTTTGGAAAACTCATGAATCTGGATGGATCATAGCCATACCATTTTTTAATACCCTTGGGAAATGACATATGGAAGATCTTATGGAAATATATAGAAATATGGCATTTGAAAATCATCTATGAATTTGGGTTTTGATATGTTTTGATGGGAAAATCCTCGAACTGAATGGGAAAATGGTCCAGCAAATCATGTAAGAGATTCCCAAAGAGACCACTGTAGCCTGGGATTCGATTGAACTACTTCGCCGACTTCGTTCCACTAAAGCTCGAGCTTATTCATCTACATATTGGAGATGATCACACTATATCACATAATTCATTGTTATGTAAACACCGTTCTTAACCAACCTCTCTCTATATATATATATAATTATATATATATATACAATTGTATATATATATAATCTATTTAATTAATAACTAATAGAATGACAGATGATTTTTTGAACACTGCTCCATTTTTCAGTTTATTTCTTCGGAATCGGTGCCAAGGAATCGCTGGTGCTCCTACAATGGCGTTCCTCAAGCATCTGCCTGTTTTCAGTTCCAGGAGAAGGACGAGGGATTTTTTTCTGCAGAGAGAAGGTCAGTGGCAGCCTTTTTTAATCAGAGTGACTTCGGCCAAGCCAGACATTTCTGGAATATATTTCATGTTAATTCTATATAGTTTGATTAGATTAATCATATCATATGATAGTGGCCGGTTCATCTTTTTTGACATGATCCAGCCGCATTCACACAACATTTCATGAACATGTGGCTGTTTAGTCCAAAAATATCTTGTGCCAGATTGGTAGCACTGATGGTAACCCCAAAACCAGATAGAAGATGGCACATAACTCTTCACTATTTTGGGGTTTTACTGAAGTTTTACTTGTCTATCTTTCTCGGGGGTGTTACATGCTTGGTGGGCCCACGCCATTAGACATCCCAAATGTTGGGTGCAAAGCATGCAGGGAGCTAATACTATGATAACCATCACAATTATGCTAGATATATCCATACCATACAGATACACACGGACACATATATCATGTGTATATATGTATATCATATAATATAATATAATAATGGTTGGTCAGCCACAGCCAGGGGGTGGTGATTTTTTTTTTAGTGATTTTGGAGTGAGCGACTAAGCAATCAAAATAGCAAACCAAAAAAATAGCAATCCCAGAAAGTGATGTTGGAAGCATCAAAAAGTGATTTGGGGAAAAAAAGTGATCTCAAAGAGTGAGTTTGGAAACCCCAAGAGTGATTTGGGAGCAAGAATAGTGATCTCAAAGAGTGATTTTGGAAACCCTAAAAGTGATTTGGGAGAAACAGAAAAATCACTTTTCCAAGCCAAATCATCACTTTCCTAGGGAAAATCATTATTTTTCTGGCTTAAACCTAGTGATCTGGGCTGAAAAATAGTGATCAAAAATAGTGATCTGGGAGACAAAATAGTGAGCGTCCCCAGGGAAAATCCACTTTTCCAAGCCAAATCATGACTTTCCTAGGGAAAATCTCTATTTTGCCGGCTTAAACCTAGTGATCTGGGCTGAAAAATAGTGATCAAAAATAGTGATCTGGGAGACAAAATAGTGAGCGTCCCTTGGGAAAATCCACTTTTCCAAGCCACATAGTCACTTTCCTAGGGAAAATCACTATTTTGCCGGCTTAAACCTAGTGATCTGGGCTGAAAAATAGTGATCAAAAATAGTGATCTGGGAGACAAAATAGTGAGCGTCCCCAGGGAAAATCCACTTTCCCAAGCAAAATCATCACTTTCCTAGGGAAAATCACTATTTTGCCGGCTTAAACCTAGTGATCTGGGCTGAAAAATAGTGATCAAAAATAGTGATCTGGGAGACAAAATAGTGAGCGTCCCCAGGGAAAATCCACTTTTCCAAGCCAAATCATCACTTTCCTAGGGAAAATCTCTATTTTGCCGGCTTAAACCTAGTGATCTGGGCTGAAAAATAGTGATCAAAAATAGTGATCTGGGAGACAAAATAGTGAGCGTCCCCAGGGAAAATCCACTTTCCCAAGCCAAATCATCACTTTCCTAGGGAAAGTATTATTTTGCCGGCTTAAACCTAGTGATCTGGGCTGAAAAATAGTGATCAAAAATAGTGATCTGGGAGACAAAATAGTGAGAGTCCCTAGGGAAAATCCACTTTTCCAAGCAAAATCATCACTTTCCTTGGGAAAATCATTATTTTGCCGGCTTAAACCTAGTGATCTGGGCTGAAAAATAGTGATCAAAAATAGTGATCTGGGAGACAAAATAGTGAGCGTCCCCAGGGAAAATCCACTTTCCCAAGCCAAATCATCACTTTCCTAGGGAAAATCTCTATTTTGCCGGCTTAAACCTAGTGATCTGGGCTGAAAAATAGTGATCAAAAAATCGTGATCTGGGAGACAAAATAGTGAGCGTCCCCAGGGAAAATTCACTTTTCCAAGCCAAATCATCACTTTCCTAGGGAAAATCACTATTTGATTTTCATAACTCACTCACGTCTTGCTTTTCCAAATCCTGCCCACCTGCTCCTCGCTATTTCAGATCATTAAAAAATCACTTTTCCAATTACAAAAAAGTAACTTGCATTTTCCAGGCTCAGGCTGCAGTTGCAACTCTTAATTATGTACATATATATATATATTATATTATATGATATCATATTCTTTAATATCGGGAATTGGATGGAGTCATCAACACACCTGTGGTTTCTGTCAGGAGATCACAGAGACTGACACGCTGCTGAGCATCGGAGCCCAAGGAACGGTTCTCAGCTGGGCGGCCGTCTTTTTCGTCATGTCTGTTATGGGATGGTTTGGAGATGTGGTTTACCCCCTGGTAAACATACAAAAAACTATGGAAAACCACCAGTTTTAATGGGAAAACTCACTATATCTATGGCCATTTTCAATAGCTATTTTGACATAACCAGAGGGTATGCTTCAGTACCCATGACGGATCCTAACGGTGCTGCTATATATGGTGTGCCATGGATCCCATCAATATACCTCCTTTATGTTAGCATTAATATACCAGCACCATGGATCCGTCATGGGTTATGCTTCAGATTTGTGAATTGGAAATGGTTCAAGTGATTTTGTGAATTGCTGAAAATTCAGGTTTGTGAATTGAAATGATTTGCTCAGAACCGAGTGCTGAACTGCGCAGAGCTCTCTGTGAGATGCGGTTGTGAAGGTTTGCACATGAGCATACAAACAGAAAACAATGCTTTGGAAGAGATGTTCCAACTTAAATAACGACCTATGATCTGAAGTTGAGGTTCTAACGTTGCATCTTCAAGTTCTGTCAATCATTCCGGCTGCCCAAATCAGGTCGCTCGCACGTACGGGTTTTTACCTTCTTTGACAGCACCAGAATCGGAAGAGTTACTGATGATTTGAGGGTTGCCCCCACGCCAAATGTTGACCCATGAGTTGCCTAATAAAAACCCAAGTCATCATCTGTGTGTGGTATAGAAAATGCCTAGATTTACCACCAAAGTCAGCTAGAATGTAGCTAGATGATGCCAAAGACACGTAAAAAAACGGATGATATACCAAGAATGGTATAGATTTATTTAGCATTGCCATTTAGCACCAAAATCAAGGTTGCCATCAGAGGTGAATGATAGCCACAACGCGGGGAAAAACATTCTACCTCTTTCTTTGCACATTTTACCTCTCAAATGTATCTGTGGTGTTGCGAGCAAACCCAATCAATGGTATGAGGTTTAGAACCCGATTACGGTGGTAAACCCATGAAAAAAATATACTGGGGGTAATTTTACATCATCCAATTTCTAGGGCTATAGCCAATCATAGGCCTTCATTATTAAGGCATCCCCAATTATCCCTAAAATCATCATCATTTAAGGCTATAATAATCTGGGTAAATTATAACGAGCTCACTGTTCTCCCTCACTGGAATCATGGTTTATTTTAGGGAAATCATCCCCAAATGGCCCAACAATTCAGGTTAGTGAAATATTATAATTTACCCAGAACTATATATATATATATGTATTGGATTATGACTATTGGATTATGACTATTGGAGGAGTACCCCCTTAATTAATAAACCCTGGTTTATTAATCCGGGGTTGACATTATAATAATGACAATAATCATCCCAATGATGATGGTTTATTATTGGGTTTACCACATCGATTGGCATCGTTCCTCCTCGACGAGGCCCTAGCGTCTCGATTCGCGTCGTTCCCCGTACCCACGCGGCAGAGAACAAGCGCAATCTGAAGTCGCTGGGTCGAAATTTATGTCAAGGGCGATGCAGTTATGAGAATTGGTGGGATTCATCATCAAGAACAGTGTGCGCATGGGGATTTTTCATGGGATTTTAATATACCTAAAATTGGTATACTTCTATGTGCCGTGGGAGATATGCATATATAGCAGTCCTGGACTGGAGTAGATAGAGTATGGAAATATCAACAAAACATCACACTATGCTTTTTGATGGAAAAACCTATTAGAATATATTATAATATATTAGAATGGATGATTTTATCAGGTTACCCCCATGGATTGGAAACCTCCATATATGAAAACATGCAAGCAGAAGAATGTCATTCGAAGTTCCGACAACTTCGAAAAGTGTCAAGCACTGGGTTCAGCGAACACTCGGATCCCTCGGATCCTACAAGCCTGATAGAAACCAATAAATCAACGACAAGGATAGAAGTGTTATTTATATGGAAAAACATGTAACCTCTTTGTTCATATATGTATATATATATACTAGACTATTTAGGATACACATGTATATATGTATATAAAAAAGATAATTGGACACATGTTATCCAGTTATCCCGGTTGTCCCTATCTCTCAAGCCATGGTAACAAATGTTGCGCCGTGTGGGAACAGCCACAATGTATATATATATATCTATACATTATACATAAATATATATATATATATATGTATATATATATATACCTGGGAAAAAATATAATAATTCACTAGCCTGAAACTTGCGGTAATTTAAGGATAGTTACCCCTACTAACCATCATTCCCAGCGAGGGAGAGCAGTGAGGTCATTAAAAAAATTACCCGGATATGTATATATATATATATATACTGGTTGGTGGTTTCAACCCCTCTGAAAAATATTAGTCAGTTGGGATTACTATTCCCAATATATGGAAAAATAAAATTAATGTTCCAAACCACCAACCAGTATATATATATATATAAACATACAGCATCTCCATGCTGAAACCTTCCCTAATAAGTCCCTGAATGATCTTCGGATCTCGGATCGCCATCATCCCTGAAAGTCTTTGAAACCAGCCAAGTTTTCATCGAAATCGGGATTTTTTCCATCATCATTGGGATGATTATTGTCATTATTATAGTCATCCCAATAATTAAGGGATAATGATTAGGGATAATGATGTATGATTACCATCTGGTTCTGACTAACATAGCCATGGAAAATCACCATGCTATTAATAGGTAAACCATCTAGAAATGGGCCATCTATACCATGGCTATGTTAAATACCAGAGGGTACCCCCTGGGAAATTAACTTGTTGACCCTGAAAATGACCAATTTATAGCCAAAACTAGTCTTCCAACCCCGATGACTGGCAGGGTCTATGTTAATTTACTGGAGGGTAATTATTGCTATAGTATGTTGAAACACGTTTCTCCCTCTCTGCCTCTCGCTCTCTCTCTCTCTCTGTATATGTATATCTCCTTCTCTTGCTCTCACCAGCATTTGTTTTTTTCTTTCTGGCATAGGTATATAATCATCCTGAAGAAGATGGAACATGGAATTTTCAACCATATTCCTAATTAAGTAAAATTTTGCATTTTGGGGATCCACCATTTGTGGAAACCTCGATATATTTTCATACATGTTTTCTGAAAGACCCGTATTGGCCCATACTTGACGAGGAACGCTGCTTCATTGGGTGACTTAATATAAATTCAACTCTGGGTTCCTGCAAAAATGTGAGCCCCAGAATAGCTTGACCGGAAAGTCTGAGGGCTGACCCTATATTAGGTGGGTAAATCCATGATTGGAAACCTATTTTCCCAACCAAGCCAATCAAATTCATGAAGTGAGACTTGATTAAGAGATTCCGCTAAGTTGCTTGTAAGTTGCTTCGTGATGTTAACCGCTATAATTATCTACATTTAGCTACAGGTGGATGGGTTGACAAACCAACATGTCACCCCCTTCACGTGAGGCGCAAGAGTCAGACGTCAGATGGCGCAGCGCCAGCTGCGAAACGTGCTGCCAACGCATACCAGCTCTTCACCAAAGAGCGCAGGCGCGGACAGCGGTGCTTTTGGGTGGTATAAAACCATGATTCGGGATACAACCAACAAACATGGGGAGATACCGTGACATACCCCTGGTATTGTTTCCTACTACAAAGGTGCAGTTTCGTGGTTGAAGCACCTCCAACATCATGGATGTCACATGGGCATTGCGAACCGAATAGGGTATCTATGATTGACCGGGGAATAAACACAAGCAGCAACGATCTGATGATGTTTGAATCGCTCGTCCCAACAGAAAGTTAAGTGGCATCATCATCCAATGGAACTAAGGATGAAAGGTAGAAACATGTCAAACCACTAGTCACTCATGTTCAAAATCTGGGGATTTCCAACCAGTTTTGAGATACTGATTCCCACTGACTCGTACCCTCTGGTAAACATACAAAGAACTATGGAAAGATCCACCATTTTTCATGGGAAAATCCACTATAACTGGCCATTTTCAATAGCAAACTGTTGACATAACCAGAGGGTATTCTTCGGAGTGGCTCAACCACCAGAAATGGCCCTGGGGCCCTGGCTCCAACGCCGGCAGGGGCCGACATCTCTATGCTTTTGCCATGTCATGTTCTGCGGGTTATAGTATAATGTTAACTATACAATGTGAGTTCAATATTATTTTCAATTTTAATTCAAAGTGTCATGTTCATGTGTCATCTTATGCACACCAATGCCACTCACAGGTTAATAAGGCAAAGTAGAATATCCATCAATGTTGCACATGTAGAGGCAAGCATGTCTCACCAAAAGATCTTCGCATTTCGGGTTGCAACATTATTCAATGGATTGGCGAAGGATAGCCTACAGGGCACCATGGTTTTACGCCCGCGTAAACGTTTTTCCTGCAGTTTTTCAACCAATTCTCGGACACTAGATGCAGCTGCTCAACCGGTGCAAAATGAGATGAAATGATGAAATAGGATGAAATAGGTATAGCAGAGAATAATAACATATAATAACGAGTATTTGTGTCACAAGCCTGACTGATCAGTTCCCAGAACCTCGTTAGTGGGGGTATGATCAGTTACAAACCACATCTTGTGGGCACCGGGAGCATGGCCCCAGAGGCAAAGCTTGACCACTGAGCAGCCGGATCTCAAATTTGGCGAAGCTGCCAAGGCACTTTCAGCGGGACTGTGAATCAAAAAAACGGGGAGTCTTGACAATGGAAAAACATGAGGAATGCACAAATAAGTACAAAATCCAAGAAGTGAAATAGTTGCAAACTGGTGTTTTCTCTATTTGTTCAAGGATTACTTCACTGTGTGCATCTGTATTTGTGATTATTTGTGTAGATGCTGGCCCATCGGTGTTTGTTCCAATGGTGAGAGCGCCAGAGTAAGCAGCTGAAGGTCAACACGAACTAGTACCATCATGTGGGGTTGCTAGGGCCTCTTTCTATATATTTGTTGACGGGCTTACGTGGATTTTCTGCAATCCTTTGAAAGCTTGGTTATGGATGGTTATGGTGAAATGAGCGTCAGATTAAAGCAGCTTGAATCAGGTTTATGATGGTTTATGTTCAATCAGCCAAAGCCAGGAGTTGAACACAACTTGACCCAGCTAAGATCAGATTGAATCCGCGAGCTATTCACATCTTCGCTCACCTTAAAGCAACTTCTGGCTGAAGTTGGATTCGTGTAAACTCAGCCAGCGAGTCAGCTGAAGTCGCTGAAATCTTTTCAAAGTTGGCTTACCCTCAACCTTCACCATCAATGGGCCAGATTCAATAGGTCAAAATACATCAAAATACCCGCAGGGATCAACTATTGATGGATTTATCATATTTATCTAATGATTATTATGATTTCGTAGATGAACCATATAAATATTTGATATGATTTTAAGTCCCATGACATCATAATAAGTACCATAAGTACCATTATCCATGCATGAGCTCTTGATGGATATATGATGGATAATATGATAAAGGTCGATATCCCATGATCAGGTCCCATTAATCCATTAAGTCCATTATGATCGCATGATGGGATAACCATAATAAATTCCCATTTAACGGCTATTTTGCGTTTTTTTGAATAGCTATATGTGATCCATAAATGGCCCTGTTATAAGCCATTAAATCACCGTGTATTAAAGATTATTAAAATACATCAGCTTATTATTATAGGCTACAAAAATGCCTGTTTATTATTAATACATCAATGGCTATAATAGGCAATGATCTATTGATGATCCATTAATAATAATGATAAACAATGATGTTTTTGCCTATGTTAGCCATTTTTATTAATAATGGTCCATTGATCTGGGTAAATTATAACGACCTCACTGTTCTCCCTCACTGGGAATGATGGTTAGTAAGGGAATCATCCCAATATGGCCGCAAGATTCAGGTTAGTGAAATATTAATAAATATTATAATTTACCCAGATTGATGTTGTTTTATGAATACATCACCCATCATCATCACCGATCGCCAGATCATCTCGGCGGAGTGGAAAGCCCTGACCGACGACGAGCGGAGGTTTTGTTTTTTCGTTTCCGACGCCGGTGATGTGGGGATTTCATCACTGAAGATGGTTCATAGTTGTTAAATGTTGTATATGATGGGTATTTGATGGGTATATGATGGGTATTTGATGGGTATATGATGGGTATATGATGGGTATATGATGGGTATATGATGGGTATATGATGGGTATATCATGGGTATATCATGGGTATATCATGGGTATATCATGGGTATATCATGGGTATATCATGGGTATATCATGGGTATATCATGGGTATATCATGGGTATATCATGGGTATATCATGGGTATATCATGGGTATATCATGGGTATATGATGGGTATATGATGGGTATATGATGGGTACATGATGGGTATATGATGGGTATATGATGGGTATATGATTGGTTTATGCGGGATATAATGGGATATAACCCCATCCTGCTAAGGAATCCTGCTATTAAACACCTATCCCGTGGTGAAGGGAGCTGTTCAGAGATCGTGGTATCCATAGTCGTGCCCCCGCCAAAAAAGTACTTATTCAATGAGGAACCACGGAGCTACTAAGAGTTTCCCAACCGCCATATGTTAGTGAAATAGAGGATTTCACCAGTAAAAATGGGGAAGGAAAAAGGCAAAACCAATCTAAAGTGAGGATTCATCATTGAATGATGGGAATCGGATTATTCTGTGTTGGGTTAACTATCCCAGTTTATGAAGAACTTTTCAAAGTCGTATAGATCATTCATGATGTACCCAGATTTACCCATCAATCATCAACAAAGATAGGGATGTAGCCGGAAACACACCTTTTCATGGGATATTTGCAGGGTCAACCCTGCATGAGTAATGTACGAAGCATCTAACTGTTATCCAAGATTGATTCAGGGTTCCACTGAGAGCTTACCCTCTAGCCTAGCGGATAGAATTAGATGTGGAAAGCCATGGGCAACCTGAAGGAATACGATCTGCACAGGGTGGGGTTCGCATATCTACCTTACTTCACTGGAGGAAATGGCCACCAGATATTCATAACTGCCTCAGCACATGCAGTTTTTAGATGTTGGGTAATTTTTTGACGCTGAAGAAGCTAGAAATTTCAGCGGAGTCTTGCAAGTATGCACTTCTTTTGTTGAGCAGCTGCTAAACCCCTATTGGTTGATGATTAGTTCGGGGATTACATTACCCAAATCTACTGAATATATTTGGGATGAAGATAATCCAATAGAGAAATCCCTAGAAATTCCTATGAAATCCCTGTAAAATCCTATGAAATCCCTATAAAATCCTATAAATCCCTATAAACCAGTATTTCCATGACATTTCCATGACATTTCGGGATTTGGAACTCTGCTCAGTTGCGTTCTGAACGCGCAACGCAACCTGGTAGCCATGACAGCCAGGCCCTACCAGGAAATGGCCCAGAAAGCCAAGGAGAACGCACAGGCCGCACAGGCCAGGCGACACAGTGAAGAAAGGTTTCAATTTTTTAAACTATATATATATAATAATAATTATTATTATTATTATTTATTATTAATTATTATTATTACTATTATTATATATAGATAGATAGATGTATATGTATAGATTCTATAGATATTTAATAAATCTAGATTCTGGATGATATTATGTGTCTAGATTCTAGGTCTAAATATAATGACCTATTGGATTTGAAAAGGACAACAAGAATGACAAGACTTCTGCCCCAAGAATCATGGTGGGCGGCTATTTTTCCATGGTGAACATCCATAAATCCCAGCTCGAAATTTCTGTGAAAGGCCCAAAACGCCCTGGATGACTTGATCCATCTTGGCGCATAGGACGCTGGCGTTGACAGCGGCGGTGCCGGTAGCGCTGCTGACAGCGCTGACAGCAAACCTGTGGTCGACAAGACCTTTGGCTGCGTAGCATTGGGCAGGTGTTGACGGAAAGATTAGAATGTTGCGACAAAGATGTTTTATGATGTCTTATGTTTTTTGATGATGTGTTTTGATGTTTGTATATGTGTATATATAATATATATATACAATATTTTTTATGATGCAACAAAGATCCTTTGGTTACTGCTTTCAAAGATGTTTTACGTTCAATTAGTCACTTGGACCGGATGATGGTCCCTAAATGACTGATATGTCTACCAACTAGCAATATGACAACCATCCCGACTTTGGTTTGCAATTGCATTCGCTACAATCAGATAAACAGACGTATCATACGGCATTAACAATTTATACATGGATGTTACTTTTTCCTCTATAAAATGGCAGGGGTCAACCCCCTCCATAAACCGTTTTATGTTATGGTTTTGGGGGGGGGGTATAGCCCTGCCATTTTATAGACAATCTATTTGCTTTCATTTTATGGAAACCTTTTGGGGGGGTCAAGCCCTGTCATTTTATAGACCCTGGCTTTTGCCAACCCGCATGCGTCACCCCCTGTGCCATTTTCGCAGTTGGTTCTTCGTTGCTGCTCATTGAAGCAGATCACATAGCGATGCAGACGAAATCAAACGAATATTTCTTGGGGTCAAAAAACACGTGTGATGTTTGTGTGAGACACCTCTCTGTGGATCTTTGGAGGTCAAGAAAGGTTCAGACAGCAACGCTAGGACAATCCAAAACATCTCAATAATTAACAATAATTATATATATATAGATATATTTCGATGTGTAATCGATATATGAACATATAAGATGATCTATGATATATTTTTGATAATATCAAGATATAACACGTATGTCATGGATCCCTCATTTTTATCGACATGTTCAACATGCTGTTTCATTCTATGAATTCTTTTTTGGGGGGTCAGCACCTGCCATTTTATAGTCAGAAGGCTTTTTTCTGTTCATTTCTGGGCTCTGGTTAGAGGCCACCATGTTCAAATTATAGTGCTTCAGGGGGTTTGGCACCTTCAATTTATAGACCCCCAAGGGGGTTGTACCCCACCGTTTTATACTATAAAATGGCTGGTAGGACCCCCCCCCTGAAAAGTAACCTCCATATTTATACATATCATACCAACCTGCACAAGTGATTTTCGATCGGGAAGAATTAATTATATTAGTTTATTAGCCAATAATCAATGAACTAGGTTCGGTTTCAAATTTCCGATTCAGCCTGAATCAACCGTTATAACTTGGGAACGTTCCAATAATCCCCATATATATGACCATTTCCATGTGACGAAGCAGTTTTGTCCGACAAGCAATCCCCAAAGTTTCTCAGGTTTTCTCAGATTAGTGAATTATCATAATAATCTATAACCATGTGTGCTTGTCGTTATTTCAAGTGGTAGTGTCACTGAATCGTGTATCATCACTATTTTTTAGTTTTACCCAGCTACAGACGCCAATGATAGTAACAAAGTTGATGATGATTAGTGGCATCTTGGTGATACCCGGCTGGTTTTACATCATTGATCATGAGTCATCACTAAGCCATCATGACCATGAAAATCAGCATGTTGCAGTATTATACCAGTTGGCTCCAATGATATCATGTATACAACAGTTGCATACTCATAGCAACCATTGCCATCAATAACCGTCGCATTACAATACCCGTTGCTGTTGCATGCTGTTGCCATTCCTATTGCCATTATCGTGACCATCGTTACAACCATATTATATCTGGTTGGTGGTTTGGAACATTCTTTTTCCATATATTGGGAATAATAATCCCAACTGACTAATAATTTTCAGAGGGGTTGAAGCCACCAACCAGATATGCCAGTTGCTAAAAAAGCCCAGTTGGCTATACCTGTTCATCCCTTCCCCTGCAAAGCCCAGTTGCACCATTGTTTAATGGGGGGAGAAAGACACAGATGGCTGGCGTTGGACCAAAAATATGCACACGTCACAGTGAAAATCATTAGAATCATATAAAATCCCAGGTGCTTATACCTCGTAATTATAGAAGGCATATACCAGTTGGTTTTTTTCGATCCAATTGGTTTTTGCTATCCCAGTTGATTAAAGGTAATGCTATATAATAATAATGAAAACTAATTGTTTTGCCCAATCTATCATCACTATTGTTGGTTTTAGCCGGTTTAATACTATACCTATGAGATGCCCATACAAAATCGTTAGAAAATTATTAGGGTCCCAGTTGCTCACACCTATTGTACCATGGGGGAAACGTTTTCATAGATGTGGAATCTTTATGGTTTCCCTACGAAAATGATCTACAACTGGTGGGTTTTCCACATCTTTTTGTATGCGTACAGGAGGGTGCCCAGACTTATAATATACACTAATATACTTATCAACAATTGCATTAAAATATCACAAGACAAAAAAATCATTCGAATCATTTTGAATCCCAGTTGAAGTTATACCTATTATATACTTTTTATATACCCAGCTGGGTTGTACGGTTATACCTATAACACTAATCATATTATTCCTCCCATTATAGCCATTATATACCTATTATATACCCATGATATACCTGTTGCATACCTATTTCCTAATCATAGGTAACATTTCATATGCCCATAGAATATACCTATCTAATATACCTATGGTATGATTTTAACATATAGTATGAGTATGATACGTATAATGGCATGTTATATACCTGCTATATATATATATATACATGCCCATCATATACAACATGTTGACAACTATAAAACCATCCTTTTTTCAATGACGACATCATAAACCATGATATACCCTTGAAATAGCTATTATGACATACCCATACTTTATACTCATTATGTACCTGTTATATACCTATGATACCCTATACCTATACCACTAATCATGCTATTCCTCCCATCATAGCCATTATATACCTATGATATACCCATGATATACCTGTTAAACTAACTGTTTTATACCTATGATATACCCATGATATACCTATGATATACCTATTTCATACCCATAGCCGTGCTATTCCTCCACTCAATGGATTGGTTTTCACGGGAAAATCTCAACCAGAAACCATGAAGATTTTCCCATGAAGATCATGCGGCTTTCCGGGTTTTCCTGTAGATTTTCCCGTCAAAACCAATCCATTGATCCACTTTCCTGAACTCTCCCAAGGAAGGTGGAGGTCAATATCCTGGCCGAGGGCGCGGACGGCACCAGCGAGATGAAGGTCACCGTGTCCGGCGCCCCAGGGGGTTTTATGGCAGGTGGCGCCTTCAGGTCGGTGGAGGTCGGTGGATGTTTCCGAAAACATATAGAAAACTATGGGAAAACCATGGAGAAACCATGGAAAACCATGAAAACCCTTTGGTTTAGGGGTGAATTTGTTAGTTTTTGCTTGGATTTCCGAGAATTTTTTTGGGGAAAATAGTTGGATGAATGGTTGGATTACTATATGGATTTAATGATGTTGTTGGGATGTCGGAAAGATTGGTTGGACTTGGAAGAATTCGAGTTAATCTAGTACAGTATGATCCTATTGAGTAAATGACTGACTGGGATAAGTATAAAGTATGTTCAAAGAACTATGTTTGACGAAGAAATGCGAATCTGCTGTGGGAATATCAGTGGGACAATTGATTGAGTAGTTATTCACCACTGGCGACATCACAGCAATTGTTTGAGAAAGTGTTCACAGAACAAATAGGAATAATTAGTAGGAAACCAATGGGAATGCAACGGAATATCATGGACATTTATATAGATGTGGGCAGTATAATTGGATATATACATATATATACATATATATGGGAACTGTGATTATTTTTATGGTACATGTCAGGGTTTATGCAGAAAAGAATGGATTTAAGAAAAACGAAGCCAATGGTAAACCACGCCTGATTTATACCCAGCCTTTTGCCATTGGGGGAATGGGATCCTAGCCATGGGTTTGCTTAGAGAATCATCATCTTGCCTGTGGAAAGCCTTTCCCCCATTTTCAGATATGCCCAAATATACAGCGTATGGTTTTATATGTATACAATTTCTATATATATATATTTGTATGTGTGTGTAATGTAATGTAATGTAATGTACTGTAATGTACTGTAATGTACTGCAATGTTATGTTATGTTATGTTATGTATGTATTATGTATATCCCACACACTACTTGAAAGTGTATCCATGTCCATCAGAGAGTGCTCAAGCAAAACCCCCGGCAGGCGAAGGTCCATGGCCTTGAAAAGGCTGATGCAGGCGGTGGAAAGTTGTAGATCATCCTTGAGAAATTTTCGTTTTTTTTCTCAACGTGTACCATCTGATTATGACTAACCATTTTCTAGCTGGGTAAATCCACTATTTCTATGGTCATGGCTTCAATAGCTGTTTTGACATAACCAGAGGGTACATACCTATTACCATTTGGTTATGACATTCACAGTTTGCCATGGAAAGATCCACCATTTTTAAGAACGGTAAACCCAGGTGAACCATCTATAAATCTATGGGCCATCGAAAAACCATGGCGAACTGTGAATGTCATAACCAGAGGGTAAACGGTTTACCCCAAGCTATTTAAAGAAATGACACCTGGGACTGATGGGGAATCATCATCTAGAATTGTGGCATCCTGAGATTGACGGCATGGACCCTTGTCCGCCCGTAAAATGAGGAAAATTACACACTGTTTGTGGCGTTTCACAAGCAATCAGTGAGAATATGTAGGGAATATTCAAGTGCACATATATCAACCAAAGTAAACTTAGTGGTGTCGTTTACTGTTTTCTTTGGCCATGAGCAAGGGCGTGCAATACCAAACTAGAAGTTATATATGTGCAGTGTACTTGGCATTTAAGATTCGCTAGTTCATGGTTTTGGCATATAGTTCATAGATATACATGTGCTTTGAATATTTGGTGGCAGATGTCTGAAATACTATATGTTTATAATGTGGTTACAATCACAAACCATTCCCCAGTCATCACCATTTTTATAGGTGGTGTTTACCATTCCTGGCCTAGGGGCCATGATCCCCATGGATGCTGAAACAATGGGGAAAGCATCGAACGAAATACGGATGAAATATGGATGATTTCTTATGGAAATATGACATATTCCATAAATATCATATGGACATAATATGGAATATTCTAATATTTATGGGGAAATCATCATATAAATATGGAAATTATATGGAAATGATATGGAATATCTCTATAATCATCCATGGGAATAATGATTTAAAACAAGGAAGAATATTGATGCCTTGAAACACCAGAGCTCTGAGTTCAACGACAAAAAGTGATTACAATGATGAAACATTGCTTTCCCTTTCCCCAAAAAAGAAGGCCATGCCGCAATTGACGCGGACATCTCGTCAATTGCGGCATCGCCTTCATTTTTGGTTCGGGCGTTGCCCACATGAAACCTTACAGAATCCTTCCGGATGCTTCGAACTATCTATGTCATTCTATGTCGCCTCATCCAAATGCCACCCTATGCCAGCATTTTTTGCCCAATGTTCTTGATGTGCGATTGTCATGCGATTGTCTTGTTTTCAAAAAAAAAGTAAAAACCACCGTTTTTCAGGAATCCATAGGGAACATTCTACACTATTTTACTCATGAGTTGACACTTTGGCTTAGTCTTGGCATGCTTTGTTGAAATCTCGAAGTCGCAGGTGTTGAAAACCATTAGGTGGTGAAAAACGATGGTTTTCCTGTCATGTTTCTATTATCCGAGATATCCCATATTTCTCAAAAAAAAACCAATGAAATCGCCCATTTTGCCAGGCCTGGTGCGACCATCACGAGCTGCCATTGGAAGAGGCGGACTTTCTGCTAGGCAGCCGGGTGCTAAAGTACGAGGACCGTGCGGTCGTTTATCCCCTCGGGTTGGTGGGCTGATGATGGCTGATGCCATTTGGAAACATTGGGACCAATGAAAAATGGCGGTTTGATGGGACTTAATGAGGATTTATAGGGACTGCTATGGGTAACGTTTACAAAAAGATGTAGAATGTGGACAACCCATGTTTTCTCCTAGGAAAAGGATCTCGAAAAGGTGGATTGTCCACATTTTTGTAACTTTGCAGGATGATAACCACTTTAAAAAAATGATATCATGATGATACAACTGATAAATGATTGCTAACAGCTAAGTCTAATAGGTTATGCATGGTTATACTGTACCTGGTCTATTGATGTTTAATTATTGGGATTGGTATGACATGTTCTGACCTACCATTGGGATACCTATCAACCAGTATGGATATGAATGTGTTTGATGGCTCAATCTGACTATGTGTCCTCTTCATATGTCGACATTGAATCCGAGAATCGGAAGGATGAATATACGACATGGCGACATTGCTTTCCTGCGTGGAAACCAATCCACACGGTGAATGTTTTTCAGCGATGATCGCTGGAACCAGAAATTGGTTTATTATTATATATTATTGTTTCATGCTGCCTTTTTGTTTCTCGGGGATCTAAGGTACCGTTTCACCATGTTTAACCAATGTTTTTACCCGTCTAAATGTCGGTCAAATCCCATGACTTTTCGATGACCAAGAAGTAGAGAGGTTTTTGAAACCCAACCATTGGTGGAATCTGGCAGATAAGACATGATAAGACTGTTTTTTTTGCTCGGTGAACTTCTAGTTCTATGGGTTAGGTCCTTATTTCATATGATTTCCATATTATTTCTATGTGCTCAATCCCTATGTTAATTGGATAAATTCCAGTTGTTGAATCCGTATTTAAAATATTTTTATGCGGGTGAACTGTATTTCTTCAATGGGAAAAACGCTGTAGGAAACCCCATCATATCCTATCGTAGTATATCATATATCATTGCATCCCCTTGTGCTTGTTGGGTTATATCAGTTTTCTCCCCATTATTGTTGGTTACTTTCTCTTCCCATTACAGGGTTCGGTATTCTTCATGTATATTCATGTATACTCCCCATACGGATTGGATCATCTCCATGACAATGTTGAATTATATACCCTCTGGTAAACTAACATAACTATGGAAAATCACCATGTTTCATGGGTAAATCAACTATTTCTATGGCCATTTTCAATAGCAATGTTAAATTACGAGAGGGTACATATAGCTTATAGCACCATTATTGTTGGTTATGTCATGTTCCCCTATCCCAACTTGTGGAGATCAGATCATCCCATGGTTCTGTATAGTAAATATCTATTTCGATATCCATCAATAGCCACTACAACGGTTTCTCCATTAATGCTCATATCACACATATATATATATATACTATATATATTTATATATGTGATCATATAAACTATATATATACTATATATATACTATATATTATATACTATATATATATATGTACTATATATATATACTATATAATATATATATATACACACTATATATATATACTCTATATATACACTATATATATAATATATATACTTATAATATATGTATATATATATAGAGAACCACCCTGAAGCATAGAATATCAAAGTGAATTTCCAATTTTTGCGAGGATGTATTGAAATATCCATATTCTATCACTCCAGGATGACTCTGTATACTGAACCGTGGTCAAACATAGCAATGGGAAATCCCTTATAAATGATAAATGAAGGTTTCTAGCTGTGAACACTATATAAATAAATATATTGTATGTATATATATATATATAATTCTCCATAGGGTTATCCCTACAAGCTTATGGTTATCTCATGTTGTCTCCCTTTTCGCCACGTCCAGGACACCTTAGACTCACTGGGTTGCGGCGACAACGTCGAGGTCAAGGCCGTGCCCAAGGGCGACACCGGCGACGCGAGCATCGCCGCGGTCGCTGTCACGGCAGCGAGCGCCGCGGACATGGCGATGCCCAAGGCGAGCAGCTGGAAATCCCCACAGTAAAGGGAAAATGGGGTGAATGCCAATGGGAATTCCAGGATCCTAAAATGGAGGTACTGTACCATATAAGGGCGTATTTTGTGGGGATATTCCCTTACATAGGCCTTACATAGGCCTTATATATGGTAGGTACCTTTAATCTAGGATCCTGAAATGGCCATTGATGAATATACCCTCCGGTAAACTAACATAGCTATTGAAAATGGCCATAGAAATAGTGGATTTATCCATTAAAAATTGTGATTTTCCATTTTTATGTTAGTTTACCAGAGGATAGTGAAAAATTATCCATAAATGGAGGGAATCATCTATAAATCATCTATAATGAGTTATAGCTGGGGAAATCATCTATAGATGGAATAATATGGTAGAAATCTCATGGAAAGATAATGGACATATAATGGGATGATGGGCCGATGGGTAGTGTATCCTCCAGGAAACTAAGAGTTTGCCGTGGAAAATCACAATTTTTAACAGCCAAATCATCGAAGGAAACACATTGTTTCTATGTGATTCCAAAAGACCTTGTATCCGAAGAAGGTCCAGTCCAAAAGGTTGGTAGGTCAGTTTTCTGTGCTAAACCACCAATATTTTACACCGAATTGTTGCTTGCAATCGTAAGTAGCAGCAACTACTTGAATGATCTAGACGGAAGACATCCCCACGGAAGCCTTTTTGGAAAAACATTATATTCCATTGTATCCCCATATATCCCCTGTGACCATTTGTTTAATCACTGAATCACAATTTCTGATCGGCAAATCCCTATGATAGCCCAGCATGCCGAACATTTGGCAGTAAAAGAACAATACATTCCTGCATCCACTTTCTTTAAGCTCCATTGCTTTAAGCCATGTATTTCATAAGTTTTCCTTGAAAGCAGCCCCAAAAAAAGGTAGAAAAGTCGGAAACCCTGAAGCATCATCCTGGAACCATCCTGGAAACACTGTGTGAAGATGTGTGAAGCCCCCTGAAATCTGGGTTGCTATTCCTTTAGATCCCAATATTCCGAGAAATTGTGCCAAAAAATACATTCATCACTGATTCATCACATTAACCCATTCTGCCAATTCTGCCCCTACAAAAATGGCTGATCCCTTTTTAATAATCCCATCCCCCGATTCATATAAAAAGCAACCCCATTCTATGGTCTCCAAATGTCCCAAATACCTGGTTTCATCACTAAACCATGGTTTCTGGAGGGTCTCGAATATGAACGGAAGGTAAATTTTCACGGTCAGGAAGAGTCATCAATGGATATAACATGATCACACATGATCTAGCTATAATATACGATATAGAATATTACAATATTAAATTGTTATTTACCATCTGGTAATTTAACAATATTTAACATAGCGAGCTGGAAAACGGTCCATTTATAAAGTTGCTTTACCGAACTTGAAGATGGTGGATCTTTCCAGTTCGCTATGTTAGTTTACCAGAGGATAGTGGAAAATCATCCATAAATGGAGGGAATCATCTATAAATGTACTATAAATGTACTATAAATGTACTATAATGTTCTATAAGTGTACTATAAATGTACTATAATGCTAATAACTATATTAACTATAGATATAGTACTATAATAGTTAATTATACTATAATATTATGCTATAATGATAATTAACTATGGAACCTTAACCCGGAGCCCAGCCAGGCCAAGGCGGTGGCCAAGCCACCGAGGTCTGCTCGCTCCGCTCGCGGGCGCGGAGCAAATCGAGGCCAGGGCGAGTTGAAACGTTGCCGAGACGTGGCAAAAACCGGGAAAAACGCTGTGAAAACCAGGAAAAATCCAGGTTTTACCCTCTAAATTAACTTGTTGACCCTGAGAATCACCCATTTTTAGAGGAAACTAATCTTCCAACCCCGATGACTACCAGGGTCTATGTTAATTTACTGGAGGGTAAGTGGTTTAAGCTGTTGAAACATACAAACAAAATGGATTTGATCAGCAAAAACATTGGAGTTTGAGATGGTTAGATCTGATTTGATCAGAAACTGTTTTGGTGATGGGGACTTTTTCACCAGCAAGAAGAGTGATTTCACTAGCGACCAAAATTTGGGATGCAATAGTATTTTTACTAAGATCGAACACACACACACACAAAAAAAAACACGTGAATTGAACATGATTTAAGCTCCAAAAAAACACATTAAACATGATTTCCATTGCACCTAACAACTCCCCCAAACAACAATGGAATTTTGGATTACCGTCGATGTTCAGCCCAAAAAACACTTGGGATGTCACCGGCGGCACTTTGGATTGATCACTTCAACTTAAGGCCACGCCGGGATTGGGATTTACCATGGGGAAAAACCGGGTCAGATACCTGGGTTTGTTTAAGGTGATGTTTTATTTTCCCAATGGAAAATCCACCATGTGGGGAATCTATAGTGAATATTTTTTCGGAACCCCTTAAGCAAATCCAAGGATATGGTCCTGAGGGAAAACTAGAGGTCACCCTGAGGGAATCCTGGGGTTTTGCCATCTTGGCAAAGCGGCTGTTGCTTTGTCCATGGGCATGGAGGAATCATTGGGATGCTGGGAGGAAACTGAGGTGTTTTTCCTCCTTTCTATCGGATAACTAGCCAGCTAGCCTATGCGGCACATCGTGATGAAAAATATGGAGGTTTCCTAAAATGGGGTACCCCCAAATCATCCATTTTAATGGTATTTTAAGCATTTTCCCCCTATAAACCATCCATTTAAGGGTACCTCCATGACTATGGAAAGCTCCATATGAATATCATTCGTTAGACGGGACGGACTGTGAATGGGGATGGGATCAAGGCGTTGACCGTAAACAGCAATGGGATGGGCTGCATCCTCAACGATCAGATCCGCTAGGTGAAGTATAATCTTGGAATTTTACTTCATCTATGTTTCTGGTTTTTGGGTGAGCTATCTACGTGATGCTTTTTTTTTTGAATTAGGGCACCCCCAAATATCACGGTTAGTCTGTGCTTTCCCATAGTCAAATTGCCAACTAACCGATGTTTTTTTCCCCATCATGCATCCATACATCCAGCTCGTTTCGGCCTTGGAACTAGTAAAATGCTTGGATCTTGGTGTTTCCAACAAATTGGAAATTTCTAGATGCGATAGGATGTGGTAACTGGTAGATTGTGATGTTGGATAACATCATAGTATATTTCCGTGTGCATCCCCAACCTTGGATGGATAGCTTAAGTCTTGTAGTTGTTTTGCTGTAAATGGAAACCAACAATAGCCAGCAAAAGATTATTTTTTGAATAACTACCAAAGATTGACCATGCGATTATACTCATATCCCATCCCACCATCACTCTTTGTGATATACTGTCATTGTTACTAGTGATGGCGGATTCGATGATGACCCAAACTCCGGGCACAGGCAAGAGGAAGAGTCGTGGCAAAGGCGACAAATCGAGCGAGGCCTGAGGCAGTAACCACTTATGATTCAATCCATTCAAGCATCAAAGATTTTGGGTACCACAAATGATCATAGATTCTCCATCTACGATATCTTGACGATTTTTTTTTGAGATTCGTTGTGTCACACCCCGAATCGGATGATTTCTCGCCAGGTTTCCCCCTGTTCCCAACATCTTGGTGAACTTGCGTTGCTTCATGTTCCATCCCGACGTGTGCTTTGTTCGCCATTCAGACGGTGAACACCAAAATAGTTGGGACCCAACATATGACTGGTTGGTTTAGTATGGGATAATGATGGTTAATGATGGTTAATAATGGTGAATAGATGGTTAATGAGATATCTGGTTGGTGGTTTGGAACATGAATTTTATTTGTCCATATATTGGGAATAATCATCGCAACTGACGAACTCCATCATTTTCCAGAGGGATTGAAGTCACCAACCAGATGATGTTTCACAGGCTTTGACCGGTTCCCATTTCGGCAGGTCAGACTCCGTTTCTGGTGCCATTTCGGCATGCCAAAATCCAATGGTTCAAACCCGGCTACCGGTTTGCTGGAGACAACCAGAAGTAATCGGCGAAGTGGTAACCCCCAATATTCTGATAGCAATCCCCATTGTATGTTGGTTGAGTCCCACATAAAAAGACTGATGAATAGTTTCTCCATGTTCAACTGTGAAATCTCACCAAAAAATATCAGTCTTTTCTCCATCCCTGATGAAATCATGTTGGATCCCAGTACCCTCTGGTAAACCAACATAGCTATGGAAAATTGCCATTTATAGTGAGTTTTCACAGTAAAAACCGTGATTTTCCATAGTTATGTTAGTTTACCAGAGGGTAATTGATGGCTTTTCCCATAGCATTTCCCCATGACCCGAAAATCCGCCGGACCTGGGCAGGACTCGCTGGACCCCGAGGGGTCGGAACCGAAAACGGACGCCGCGCCGCGGCGAAGCAAGCGGCTGCAGGATTCGGAACAGGCGGGGAAAGGAGAACCAGATGGAAAAAACTATATCTGGTTGGTTTAGTATGGGATAATGATGGTTAATGATGGTTAATAGATGGTTAATGAGATATCTGGTTGGTGGTTTCGAACATGGCTGCTATTTTTCCCATCATATTGGGAATGTCATCATCCCAACTGACTTTCACTCATATTTTTCAGAGGGGTGGCTCAACCACCAAGCAGTGTAGATGGATGGATGGATGTGATATGGCACTTGATCGTAGTGCATCTTAGTGCCCCAATGTGTCAAATATAATGCATGTATACTATATATATAGATATGAATATATATGAATATGTATGGAAGTTAGCATGATCAGGATATTACCATAAAAAATATATGTACATAGTTATGGTTGTATCCATATATCCATGTGCCGGTAGCTCTTCCGCAACGCTGCTCCAGGTCTTCCCCAATGCCACCTTGGTGCATCATCTGCCGACACCTCCCAGGAAGGAGAAGGAGGCGACATTGGACTTTGAGAGTCTACATATCGTCTAAAAACTATAAAAATATATATGGTACTCCGACCCGGGGTTAAAGACTCATATGCCGTCTTCTGATTAGCATTTAGGTTTTTCAGGTAGATGCCCCCCGACGCACCACTCTGTGAACTCTGCGGCCATAAGTGGGTGGTGATCGGCGGGGGCCTGTGCCAGATCTGTCGCACCGTGGACAGACTGGCCGCGATCGTGAGGTCGCCTGAGGTCCCAGTTTCAGCAGAGTGCATCGTCTTGCAGCGGCTGCGCGCGTGCATTGGTGAGCTGCAAGACCTAGGGGAGCTTACACGAGGAGTGGCTCCTAACCCGGTGCAGCGCCCACTTGCAGAGGCGGGAGGACCTCCTCCTAGCGCGCCGGGGCCTGCTGCTGGCAACGTTGTGGCCACTTCGAAGGCGCCTCCAGCTACACCGCCAACAGCTACACCGCCACCATTGACTTCAGAGCCTGTGCCAGAGGCTCCTGGGGCGCCCGCAAGCCGTCATCGTCTGCCAGCTGAGGTGAAGGGAGACACTACAGAGACCTCTCCTAACCGCGGGACTGCTGCATCATCGTCTCGGCCAGACAACCGGGAAAGGAAGAGGAGATCAGCAAAGAGCCCTAGATCGCCAAGAAGGTCCCGAAAGAGATCCAGAAGGTCAAGAAGTGGACGGAGCCGCGATAGAGCCAGGCGCTCCAGGCTGGCCAGCCCTGTAAGGCCTGAAGGAGTCAAAGCTGAGGAGACAGACTCTGAGGAGCGAGCTCAGAGACGGGAGCGGAAGTCGCGTCCTTTGAGGCCTAGGCCGCCCTCTCGGCCACCACAGCACCATCGAGACCCAGCTCCAAGCCGTAGGCCAGAGGGGAGGCGTTGGGTTGGACCCATCCCTGCACGGCGCCGAGAACCTCCTCCAGGCCACGGTCGCCATTTTGGCAAGAACAAGGGCCAGACCAAGAGGAGAAAGCGAGCCGACTACCAGGCAAGGAGGCCTCGGTATTGGGGGAGGCGCTGATGCCCCCTAAGTTGAGAAGACCTGGCGCTGCTCCTGGTGCAGTGGTTCGAGGTCGAGGCTTGCGAAGACCAGCAAAATCAGGAGAGGAGGCTGTTGAAGAAGGAGAGGGTACACTGGTGGCTAGTGCCTTGACATTAGAGCAATGTCGTGGCTTGAAAGACATTGTGACTCTCACTGGAACTTACTGGGAGGCAACAGTTCAGGCCGCGTTGAAAGTGAGGGAGGTCTACATCAAGGACGGGGAGCTCTGGCTTCGCGCCGAAGTGTTGGGCACGCGGAACGAGACGTTGCTGCGTTGGGCTTCGGAAAAGAGCCAGCGGGTGATAGAGGTTCACCTGTGCCCGGAAGGCTGCACAGGCGGGCCTCATGCTGAGGGCGTGCTCCACATGAGGAGTTTCCAGAAGTTGGGGGCCGATCGAGAACCTTGGATGTCCAACATGCTGCCCGAAGAGAACCGTCGAGGGGGAGAAGACGAGCTAGTAGAGCTCCGCGAGGATCAGAGGCGGTTGAGGAGCCCTCCACAGCGGAGGAGGGGAGATGGACGGGAGGACAGGCCTCCTTCGATCTCCTCGGGCGAGAAGGACAAGGTCCCCAAAAAGAAAAGCAAAGACAGAAAGAAGAAGCGCAAGGAGATGAGGGTGGAGAGCCAGAAAGAGATCAAGGTCATTTTTGGCCACACCGGGTTGGATCCAGATCCAGCCATCCGCCGGCGTTTTCGGCGCAGAGCCGCCCGAGTGGTGAAGCGCAAAGGCAAGGAGACGTCGGACAGCTCCAGCAGTTCGTCAGCAAGTTCCCCCAGCGAGACGCGGGGCGATCCCAGCCTCTTTGGGGCATCCAGCCGGGTGCAGCTGGTGGCCAAGAAGTTGCCGGGGTCACTGGGCGCCGCTGCAGTCGAGGAGATTGCGGAAAACCTAGTGACGGCCGACGGCGGGCTTTGGGAAACACATTCGGGGTGTCTTCCACCTCTGTTCATGAGGTACTACAAGCACCACCTTGCAGCTCGGATGTCTCCGGTTATGAGCCGCGAGGCACACACGTTGTGCCAAGCCCTCGACCTCCTCATGAGAGGGAAGGTGGCGGAGGGCGTGGATCTGTGCGCCCAACGTGTCAAATCGTTGGAAATGATGGCCAACGGGTGCCATTATACAGTTTCACAACAACAAGAGCTGCTGCCGAGAGACGGGATCACCATTTCGACGACTGCAGAGTTTCAGGAGGCTGCGCGTCGAGCGCGGGAGGATGGGCGAGCCCGAGCAGAGGCCGCCAGACCTTTCGGGAGTCGGGCAGTTGGGACTCCTCGGACCGACGAGTGGGCAAAAGGCAGCGGAAAGAAGGGCGACAAGAAGGGCAAGCAGGGCAAAGCCGATCAGAAGAAAGGCGATGGCGACAAGGCGGACGGGCGAAAAGGGAAGGGGAGTTGAGGCAGACTCCTAAGAAGAAGGCGGCAAGATGCGAGATTGAGTTGTAGCGGTGACACGGGAGGGGAGCCCACAGCTGGCACCTGTGGCTCCTATTGAGGATGGGGTGGTAGATGGGGGTGAGCGGCCACTTGACGATTTGCAGCGCTGCTCTCCCTGGACGCCACCTGAGCCTGGAAGGCTAGAGGGAGCACGAAGTGTGACACGGGCTGGTAAACGGCTAGTGTCGGATGCTGCTCCTACAAATTCAGTGCATGAGCTTGGTCGGGCTGGCGGCATTACAGCGACAGAGGCCAGCCGGGCGGAGCCCTTAGTGCATGGCGCCTTGTCCACTGCGAAGTCATTGGACGTGAAGTTAGCAGAGGTTAACTCTGCATGTCTCACCTGCGCGGGCTGGAGGTTTGAGGCGATGGGTGGACTCCTATATGAATCTCTCCAGAAACTTGTTTGGAACCGGCATAGCAAGACCATGACCACGGCAAAGGATACAATTTTTCCCTTGCCACTGGGAGATTATCCTGGAGTCCTCCCTGAGCATACAGCTTGGTTGCATGCAATTCTCCTTGGCTTGAACTCCCTTTACGGGGATGCACGGACGTCAACGCTTCGGCCGACTGAAGTCCAAAAAAGCCTAGTTGCGTCCATTGTGAGTTTTCTTGGGCGGATGTGCAATTTTAGGGTCACGATCCCCACAACTGGTTTTGGTGAACTGTTTGATGTAAAGGGAGTGGACTATAGAGGTGAAGAAGTTAAACTTGCAAGGTCTTTTAACTGGAGGTGTATCGCTGGTGCTTTACCTCAAGAAGTAGGAACGCTGGAAATGGCTGACTTCTGTTCTGGGGGGTGTCTTCATTATTTGAGTCACTTTGAGGAGTTCCTTCTTCCGGTTGAATCACAAGTTTTAGGGCGCACCCCGAGGGTGATGGTCGACGAGGGAGACTGGGAAGATGTTGTGAAAGGGCTTATTCAAATGGGGATCTGTGAAGTGTGCCCTCGACGACTACTGTTTCATGTAGATGACCGTCCCTTGCTGAACGGCCTGTTTGCAGTGTCAAAGAATGAATTTGATGCTTCTGGTCTGGAACTGCATCGATTAATCATGAATATGGTTCCCCTCAACCGCATTTGTCGGTCACTCAAGGGAGACGTGGGGACTCTCCCCACGGTGGCTGGCTTGAGCGCCTTTTATTTGGAAGACCACGAGATTGCAGTTATGTCTAGCGAGGACGTCAAATGTTTTTACTATTTGTTTCAGATCCCTCTCAGCTGGAGAAAGTTCATGGGTTTTGCTCGGGAGGTACCCCCCTCCTACGTTCCTGT